AAGCTTCCACAATAATGATTTCACACTGACACAACTGTGCTTAGTGTATGGCAGTGAGGGTAAGTTCCATTACATCCCTAGAGTAGGGACTGGGCCCAATTGTTCCATGTGATTTGGGGTGTTGTAATGTTTACCCTATCAAATGAAATATCGAGGCCCATGGAGAGCCAGTGTGGTGTAGTGGTTAAGAGCATGGACTGGGACTCAGATGATCTGGGTTCTAGTCCCCGCTCAGCCATGGGGCCAACTGGGTGACTTTGGGCCAGTCACAGACTCTCAGCCCAACCTACCTCACAGGGTTGTTGTGGGTATAAGATGGAGAAGGAAATGTAAGCTGCCTTGAACTCTTTGTAGGAAAAAGGCAGGATAGAAATTGAAAAATAAATAAATGTATAGCTGGTTATAGAATCAGTTGTCTGTAAATCAAATGGCTTGGACAGAGGTCAACGGTACATTCCTGTGTTGAAAATTCCAAGGTTACCATCGACAGAGTCAGAAACAGCAACTGAGTTCTATAATAGGAATTAAGTCGCAATGGTTCAGGGTTGATACGCAAATGGTCAAGGGTCATCTAAATGGGTTGAAAGAGTTCAAATCTCCAGGGCCAATGAACTCCATCCTAAAGTCATAAAGGAGCTGGCAGGAGAACTCTCAGAACCATGGCCTATTATCTTTAAGAACTCTTGGAGGACAGGAGAAGTGCCAGATGACTGGAGAGGAACAAATGTTGCACCCATTTTCAAGGAAGGAAAAAAGAAGAACCTGGGAACTACAGACTAGTTAGTCTGACATCAATCCCTGGGAAAATTCTGGAACAAATTTTAAGCAGTCAGTCTGTGAGCACCTTGAAAACAATGCAGTGATTACTAGGAGCTCGCATGGATTTCTCAAAAGTGAATGCTGCCAGAGTAATTTCATTTTTTTATTGGGTTCTCTCTCTGATAAGACTGTGGGAATACTGTGCACATAATCTTTCTTGACTTTAGCAAAGCTTTTGACAAAGTGCCCCATGATGTCCTGATTTTAGCAAACTAGCAAAAAGTGAACTAGAAGAAACAACTATCTGATGGATCCACAGTTGGCCATAGAATTGGACTCAAACAGTGTTCATCAACAGCACCATCTCTCAAGGGGTAGAGGTAAGCATAGGGGAACCGCAGGGATCAGTCCTGGGCCCAGTGCTCTTCAACATTTTCATTAATGACTTGGATAAAGAAGAGGAGGGAATGATTTTGCAGATGACAGAAAACGGGGTGGGTTAGCTAGAAGATAAAAATAAGATTCAAGATTATTCAATCTGGGCTGAAAATAACAGAATTAAATCCAGTAGGGAAAATTGCCAAGTTCTGCACCTAGGAAAAAGGAACAGGAAAAATTTACTTATTGTTAGAGTAGTACAGTGGTACCTCAGCTCACGAACACCTCAGTTCACAACCAGATCAGGTTGCAAACAAAAATTTCATTAAAATTTTGATTCAGGTTGTGAACTCCGCATTGGGTGGCAGCCGTGATCTCAGTCGTCTTCCCCGCCCCCCGAGTGGGGGGATGGCCGCGATCGTGCCCATCTTTCCTGCAGAGCGCGCCCGTAATTGCGATTGTCTTTCCTGCAGGAGCACAACCGTGATCTCTGCCATCTCCCCCCCAGCACTATCATGCCTGTCTCTCCCCCCCGAGTGCGCCCATGTTCACGCCCGTCTCTCTCCCCCAAGCATGCCTGCCTTCGTGCCCTTCTCTCCCCCTGAGCATGCCCGTGATCGCGCCCATCTCTCCCCTCCCCCGAGTGCGCCTGTGATCGCACTCATCTCCTCCCTGTGCGCCTGCGTTCACACCTGTCACTCCCCTACCAGTGTCCCGGGAGGACAGGCGCGTGCTCAGGGTGGTGGGGGAGATGGCCACGATCTTTGTTCTTTGTCACTTTGCTTCACATTTTTCTGATTTAAAAAATGAGTTACAGAATGGATTAACCTTATTTACATTGACCCTTATGGGGAAATTTGACTTGGCTCATGACCAATTTGGGTCATGACCAGAGTCCTGGAACGGATTAAGTTTGTGAGCCAACGTACCACTGTACCAGTTACCCAAGGAGATTGTAGCTCTCCCATTCTAGAGGCATTCAAGAGGCAACTGGGCAGCCATCTGAGAGGGATGTGTGACTCCGTCCTGCAGTGAGCAAGGGGTTGGACTCAATGGCCTTCTGGCTCCTTCCAACTCGACTATTCTATGATTGTCCCTATACATACATATTGGGACAATCATTACTAGAATTTTACTAAAAATGCAGGTAATGTTATTAATATTTGTGTGTTGTAACAGGATCAGGAGGAAGGGGAGCATTGAAGGCACCTTGTTCCATGTAAAACTGAGAGGAAACAAGCTCACCTGGCAGATCCTTTTATTGGCAGTTTACAGCTTCTGTTGCAGCTGCCCTGCCGGAAACACCAAAGCCCTCTCTTCACCTGGACCCTTCCTCACTCCTGGTTCTCAGCCAAAGAGGTTGCCTCTGGGGAGGTGGGGAGCAGCATGTCTTGGGCCTGCTCTTCTTGCTTCTCTCTGGCCGCCTGAGCATTGCAGCAATGCCAGCCACTTCCAGCTCTCTCCCAAAGGCTGCTTTTGCACATCACTCATCCTTTCCTTCGCTCCTCTGCTCTCTCACTCACTCCCTCCCTCCTCCTCGGCACACCACTCCCCTCCTGGTCCTATTGGCCCTTCCTTTATTCTCCTTTCCCCAGCACATCTGTCCCTGCTCCAGTTGCCAACCCTGCACAGCTGTGCATTCCTGCAAACGGAGTTCCCTACCTTTTTCCTCCCAAGCAGATTCCTGACCATGCCCCACCATCTCTGACAACTCTCTGGTAGCTGCCATGGGAAGATGAGTGAATCCCTCCACTTCCTGACATGTGTATAGACAGAATGTCTGTCTATTTTCCAGAGTTTCAGTGAACACCAGAGAAGAAAGTGATCATCAACCAGTGTCAATCCAGTTAAAACAGATTCAAATCTGTTTTAAAAACAGTGACTCAGGCAGATAAATGGGCAGTGCAGAGGTTGGATATATAATAGAAAAGATTAAGATGGGAACAAGTGGATACAACAAGTCAAATCCATCCTGAACTCAAACAGAGGAAGAAAGTTGTGGGGGGAATTTGTATTTCTGAGGTGAATATGGATTTTGTGTTGTATGCATATCAGACTATTTGCTCCCAAATTAAACCTCTGATATTAACTAGGGTTGGATCAAGCAACACAAGGAATATAAATACTCCACAGTTCGCTACAAAATGTTGAGTGTCAAGGAAACACTTGAGAAAACCAATGTGAAAGGCACTTGACTCTTCAGACTGTGCAGGTTATGCAAAGGTTGCGCTCAGGCAAAGGTGGTAAAAATTAAAATACAGCCAAGAAAATGGGCTATGTTGCTAAAAGCTGCACAGATTTGGAATTGGAGGTTAAGAGCAAAAATTTAACACACATCTGGTAGCTTGTCTCTGGAAAACTAAGACACATCTATGAGATACCTATATCTGCTTCAGTTTGGGAGGATTTCTACCTTGATTTATTCAGAGACAAATAAAAAGATTAGTAAATGGTTACAAGGGGAAGCAAATCTTGAAAATATCAATGGCTTCCCTAAATGGCCACCAGTCTCCATGCAGGAAGTAGTCACTTATACAATTGCTGGGGAACAATAAAGCTCCAAGAGCGGACATTATGTCAACTGAACTTTTTAAAGATAATGTACAGTGATGCCTTATTGGTGGCTTGTTCACTCACATAAACAATAAGGGATGGAAACTGAGTATAGTAGTCTCACTATTTAAAAGAGGCGATTGAGGAGATTCTAGAAATTACAGGTCAGTCAGCTTAATTGAAATTCCAGCAAAAATGCACTCCAAGTTGCAGGCAGGGTTTAGAAAGGGAATGTCTGTGATTGACAATTGTTTATCCTGCTTCATTTGGTATCAAAATAAACTGCAAGTACTAGACAGCTTTTCACTACATTTATTGATTTCACTGCTGCCTTTGATTCAGTAAATAGAAATCATGTGTGAGGGAAAACTGTTGAAAACAAGTGTAGATCAGAGACTGCTCTTCCTTGTAAAGGCGCTTTACTCAGATATGAATTAAAATGCCAGAACTGGCGTGAAGTGTGACTTAACAAGTAAGATTTACATTGATAAAAGGGTTCAGCAGGGCTGTATCCGCTTCATTTCTTTTTAACTCCTATATAAATAAGGTAATTTATTTTGTTTACAGTTGACTTGCTCTCATAATAGACGCTACCGCAGGATTAGTGGCAGAACTGAATGTTTATTTGTAGCATTTTTGCTTTACCTTTCTGTGAAACAAACAAAGGACAAAGTAGCAATAACAGAATAGGATCAGAAGTAGAACAGAGGGCACAGGCAACACTCAAGAGATGTATGTTGAAATGGGCAACTTTTGTTACTGCCAAGAATACTTTAAGAGGCAGAATTTCCATCCGCTCTGAGCAACAGGTGTCCTTGCTTGATGAATGTGAACTTCACACTAGAAAATGATGTTCGGCAAATCAATTGTTGGCGCGCTAAAGTGTAAATAATTGGGTCTCCGTCTGTTCTCAGTTACCCAAGTATTTGCTGCTAACTTTTGCTCTGGTGGCTAAACTTGCATATGGTGTATTTTTGTACAGAGGCATATGATCTGGTCTTGTTGCTGCCCCAAAGTAGTCTCTCCTTAGCAGTTGCCTTGCTTGCTTCTTGTGTTTTAGTAACAACTTCCTCTGGGTGATTTACTATTAAATTATGATGTATTATTATATGTTTTCCTCACTGCCTTTTGAGAATGTTTCTGACGTCAGAGTAGCAGAATGCTTACCAACCTGTATTAAGACTTTGCATTAAATATCAAGGCCTGGAACAGTAATGAGACAGCCCCAACCTGGATAATATATTTCCAATATACAAGACTCGCTGGAGAATATTGCGTTATCTAATTTCTCACCATATTTTTTGTTTCAGATCTTGCAGGAACGAGGTTCAAGGATGTAACTGTGCTGCAGTATTTAAAGTGGAAGAACTTTATCTTGAATTGCCGCACAAAGAGGTTTGGCACTAAGAAGTTTGGAGAATTCATTGATCCAGATTTGAACCCTTAAGGTGGTGCAGCTGGAGCAAGTTGCTTGTGAATAACTGCCTTGGCCTACTGTGAGAGGGGTTGTGCCGCTCTTAGTCCCATGGAAGGAATGGACTTGACTGTATGCTTCCTTACTGAAGGTGCGGCACTCTGCCCAGTGCTACCTATATGAAGCTTAGCTTACCGTTGGAAGCAGTTTGGGTTTTATTCATTGCAGACAGTTCCAGGACAACATATTTGGTGCTATGTATAAATGGCAGCCCATGCATGGGCCTTACACCATCAGGCAGCCCCAGTGGACTGCTGCCTTGCTATAGGAAATGAGAGGCGCTGGCCCAGGCTCGAGAAAGGATGTCCGTCTCTTCCCTCTCTCGCCTTTGCTTTCTTCAATACCCAAAGGTATCTCTACTCTGGAAGACGTTCCCCTCCCCTCTAGGGGTGGCTTTCCTCTCCAGATAAATGGCTATTGCAAATGTTAATGTTCAGTTTTAGCTACATTTTAGGGTTAAAGACCCTGTTTTTAAAAATGGCATAGGATCTTGCCTTCCAAATAAATGGGCACATATCCAAAATTGCATTGTTTTTAGAAATATCTCCAAGCATTTAAGCCTCATGAACTGTGAGAAAGCTAAAGGTAGGCCTGGAGTTTTAAGTCTTCATGGGTGCTCAGTCCTGATGATTAGGGAATGAGGGCATATGTGCCCTAACGCATAAGAGCTTGTGCAGCTGAAAGTAGGAATTCTTGTGACTTTTTAACTGATGTTTACAGTCATTTCTATGTTCTTTTATCTATGCAGTTCTTCTAATGTTTTGGCAAGTACTGTCAAAAGCACTTGTGGTTTCAATAAGAAAGGCTTGTGGTAAATGTGAAGAAACACAACTGGAGCTTTTTAGTGCACTGTGTTTAAATGAAACCATGAGCATGTTTTTTGAAATGGGTTTAAAGAATTCCAGATCTCTCTGCTTCATAGAGAGGAGCCCATGCTTGAGGCTTTCTAGCACTCTACCCATATTTTAAACTGTTTGATTAAACAACTGACAAATGTTCTATGCATACACCACTTTCTTTTATCGTTCAGCTGGGTGGCGCCTTCACTGTGTTGAACATATTTTCATAGAATGATAGAGTTGGAAGGGGCCAAGAAAGCCATCAGGTCCAGCCCCCTGCTATTGCAGGTCACCAGTGTACACTATCCCACTCATTTTGTCTGTCTGCATTAGTGATCTGGATTTTGGCAAACCATTTCTGTCCAGTGGATAAGCAAGCGGGTTCCATCCATTTTCTTGAAACTTGCAATTAGACTTGTCTACAGAGAAAGTTTTGGGGCCCTTCTCAATACTGAGTAGTCCCTGTCTTTCTTAAGATGTTACGATGGAATCAAATTGACTAAAATCTAATATTCTGGATGATGAGTTTTTAGAAACATAGAAATGAAGCGAGTCAGAAGGGGCCTCTAGTGTGACTCCCAGCTCCAGCAAGCTTCACTCATGTAATCCCCAACATGTGGTTGTCCAATCTTTCCTTGAACACCCTCACTGATGGGACCTCCACCACCTCCCTTGGAAGCCCATTCCATATCCTAGGGGCCGTAAGCATCAGGAAGTATTTCCTCACATCCAACCTTGAGCTGTGCCCCATTGGAACACATCCTGCCCTCCACTGCAGTGAAGAACAGGTTAGAGCCCTCCTCCAGATGACATCCCCCCACATACCTATAAGTCGCTAAAAGATCCCTTGAGTCTCCTCCAGACTGAAAAGACCCAGTTCCCTCAATCGCTCTTCTTAGGGCATCCCTCCCAACGTGGTTACCATTCTTGTGACCCTGTGCTGAACTGATTCTAACCCAGCTACATCTCTCCTATAATATGGACCCCAGTACTGGATGCAGTACTCCAGTTGTGGGTGCACCAGAATCATGTAGAGTGGTATCAGCACTTTCCTAGATCTGAAAGCCACGCTTCTGGCTATACATCCAAGGGAGGCATTTTCTCCTTTCAGACTTTTTAAGACATCCATCATTGATTTCATTAAGGCCAATGCCACTGTTTCCCCTGAGAAATAGCATTTTACCCCTGTGGAAGTAAATATAATTCTGTGTATATGTATAACACAGATAAATGCCTGTTGCAAAGGATGCTACTGAGTTACCAGAACAGACCATTGTCTCCTTCAGGTCCTGCTGTTTTGCAAAGCATTCTGATAAGGTAATTGGCTGTTTGCTTTGGCCGATATCCACACCAGAACACCCTTTCCTAAAAGGTTGTGTCATTGATCATGCCGCCCAAAACCTTCCTTTGAACACTTTGATATGCTAAGCAAAGAATTTGATTGTCATTACTTGCAGGCAAGGAAGGAGAAACAGTAAAGTGCAATGAATGGAAGGAGAAGGTGCAGGGGAGCAACTGCTCTGTCCACCAAAATACTTCTAATGTATGGCTGTTTTGGAGTGAGATGACCTCCATTTTGCTGTCATCCTGTACAACATCTGAGATGTGGAGGAAATTTTGACCTGACATCTGGTCACCTCTGACTGGCAAACTAGGAAGTATCAGGAGGCATTTTGGAAAAGGCTGCCGCTTGCAGCTATGACAGTTGAAGTTTTTTTCTTACTATCTGGAGGTTTTAGCTGCAGACAGGATTTTTTCTCTTTATGTTGATTTGACTTATTGAATGTGGGGGAAAGCATGTTAAACAATAACTGCTATTGCATTAAATTTATGCCATGAAAATGCAATTTTAATCAAGGATTTAAGATTGGAAGTGTGGAATCCTTTTTATATTCTCCATGATTGGAATGAGATTTGTGGCATGTCACATAGTATCTTGGGAACCACAGCTTTATTTTTAGAAAAGCAAGTTTCTCAGGGTTAACACTGGTTAATACAAGACAGTGTTTGATAAAAAAAAATCAGGCAGTTGAGCTTCTTCCTTACCGTAACTGCTAATTTTTGCCACCTCTGTGCTTTTCATTCCTCTTGTAATTCACTTATTGCTAGTACATCCTGAAACTTGAAAGTGGAGTAAAAAAATTAAATATGGAAAGTGTGCAAATTTGAAATAGAAAATGTGGCTTTCAAAAGAAAAAACAAAAACAACCCTATACTACTACGTGTGTATGGCAAAGTTACCTTTTGTTCATGTTCCCTGAGAGCATTAGCCTTTTAATTAATTACTTTTAGCTCATTTTTTTTCTGGAAACTCCTCCCTCCTGTCCCAGTATCTTCCTTGTTTTGATGTGTTCCTGCCAACAAGCATGAGACATAAGGATTATCCCAGGGAACTGGATAGATCAGGGACATTAAAAAGACAAACAATGACATTACTTCAGTACTCCTCCTGGCCTTTGAAATGGACACCTGCACCCTGTTGTCATTTGATTTTCCTCAGATTTGCATGCTTCTCATGTAAAGAAAGGTCTTGAGACTCTGCTTTTGGGCTCTGTTGCACCATGTGCTATCTGGAAGGCACTTCAGGTAAAGCACTAGAAGCCCTGCAAACAAATGGCTACTCTCATTGGATCATGGAGGCTACTCTGCCTCCCAGTGAACTGCCATTAAAAGATTCTTTTCTTCCAAGGATGAACCTGAGATGGGACACACATACAGTACCCTAGAATTCCTGCAGTATTGACATTCTGATTATGCTTACTCCTGTCCAGCAGGAATTACAGTTCAGTATCTAGAGAATATTGTACTGCAGCTTCATCCTTCATGATTGCTTACTAGCAGTGATGGGAGTTTGCAGTGAAACAATGTCTGGAAGACAACCTATTTCCATTCCTGCCCTACAGCCCAAATAGTGGTTAATAAGAGGTGGGCAGAGTTTGTGGATGGGGCAATTGTTTTCATTATTGAAGCAGAGATTTGTCCATGCCTATGTAGAAGGGAATTTATTTCCCACGGGCAGAGCTCCCTCCAAAAGTGTGTCAGATTTTCTGCCACTTACTGCAGCCATGTCGCTTCCTGCCTCACTATTCCTGCACTTCTCTAAAGAATGAATGGCCCTCAGCCTTCAGCTTATCCCATGGGAGGCAGGGCCAGCTGCTGAACAGGCTGTTCCACTCCTCTTGCAGCCTGTCCTGCAGATAATGAGGAGATTTAATATTCAAATTCAGTTGAATATTTCTGAATTTGATTGAATATTGCATTTCTCTTTGGTTTTGCTTAGTTTCATTTATTTCATTTATAAAAAGGCTAAGGCCTTTTTATTCCAACAATATTTTAATAACTTTTTATATATGTTTTAATCTGCAGCCAGGGTGGATCTGGAATTTATTTGTATTATGTTTTATATTATTATTATGTAAGCCGTCCTGAGGCTTTTGCAAAAGGACGGCATATAAATATTCTAAATAAATAATTTTTCCTTCTACCAACATGTCTAGACAGGACTATGAGGCCTTCTGCCAGTGAAGAGGTTATTGAAAATGCAGAAGAGCCTCAAAGAAATTTTGTGCTGCCCAAAACAGGACCAACCAGGATGCCGATATGTTACTCATCCAGCACAATGGGACTGACTCTAGAGTTCCCCTGTCACCTTGGTCCAAAGAATACATTTGACCTCAGAACAATGCAGTAAAAGCAGCACCTGCTTGTGCTTGTTTACGTTCATAACATTTATATTCTGTTTTTCCTCTAAGGGATCCAAGGCAGTGTACATGCTCTACCTCTAGTTGTTTATCCTCAGAATGACCCTGTGAAGTGGGTTAGGCAGACTGCAACTTGCCCAAAGTCTTCCAGTGAGTTTCATGTCCAAGTGGGGACCTGAACCTTGATCTCCAGAATCCCAGACCAACTTTCTAACCACTGCAGAGCACTGGCACTTAAGTGTCCTCGCCCGCGGTCTTGCAATAGACCGGCTCAAGAGCAGTCTCCTTGGGCGGAGGTGGCTTTGCGCTGCGACGCCGGCAGGAGTCAGTCGAGCCACCTTATTTAATAGCGATCACGGCCAGCCACGAAACAAGGCAAGGCCAAACCCGGGGAGCAAAGACTTCCTTCCGTGCCCCTCCGTTGGTAAGGACGTTCCAGGGGGCCGACCCTAACAGCGCTGCAGAACCGTCCCGGGGCTGCCTGGGAAGACCGCTCCACCGAGCAACCACGCCGGAGCGGCAGGCACGAAGCCCTTCGGAACAAGAGCTCGCGAGCAGCGGCCCCACCACAGCCTGGAGGCCCGTGTACGTCAGAGCGCGGTCTTCACGGCGGCGCGTGGGTGGGCCTTCCGCTCTGGCCACCAATAAAGAGGGGGCTTCGAAGTCCATCCAGGTCCCCAGAGCAGCTCCCGACCTGTTTCTACGGTAACCAGCTCCACCCGACGCCGCTGTTGGGCAGCGATTCCCCACGACCAGGCGCGGCGAGAGGCGTGGCCTATTGGAGTCCCGCGCAGCTCTGGGCTCCTCGGGAGGGCAGGGGCTCCGAAGCACGCATTGCGCAGGCGCCTTCAGGCGGACGGATCACACCGAGGGACAGACTGCGCCGACACGCTCCGCTTCCTGTGAAGGAAAGTCCAGGCTTGAGACAAAAGGGGGGAGGCGTGGGGGGAACATCCGGGTCATTTGCCGCCGCCGTCGCCGCCTCAATCCGGGACACGCGCAACTGCTGAGGAGGCCGCTGCCGCTGCTGCCGCTACACGGTGAGGCCTTGGCGGCCGCCACCGCGACCTGCCTCGAACCGGTGAAGGGTACGAAGGTCCTGCGACGCCGCCGCAGCCTCGCTCGCCCCTCAAGGTCAGGCCCGACGCCGCTGGGCCAGGCCTCGTCTCTCTCCGCCCGCGGTGTCCCGGTGCCGAGCTCCGGGGCCCCGGCCCTGGCGGCGGTGGCGGCGGCGCGCGCAGGGCCGGTTTGGTCTCGCAAGCGGCCTTCGGTTGCAGCCCCCGTCGCTGGCGGCGGCACCTAAGTGCGCGGCGGGAGCTGCTTTGCTCCGCCCCACCTGAGCCTGAGGTGCGGGAACGGCGGCGGCGTCTAGCAAGACGCGCCGGCGGGCTCTTTTCGGCCTGGTCGAGTTCCCGCGAAGAGCAGGTGAAGCGGGGTGCGGCCGGGGAGACTGGCTCGGCCCGGGGACTCGCGTGGCGACCAAGCGCCGACCAGTGCCTCCTGCCTCTTCACGGCCTGCCTCTTGTGCCGCCCAGCCTCGGCGAGCAAGCGGGCGGGGGCGGGGCGGGGCGGCAGCGGCAGGCGCGCCCCTCCCCTGGGCAGAAGGAGAACTTTCTCTGCCCTGATGGGCAGCTGTTTATCTTGCAGAAGGACACCCTGAGGATGTCTGGGATCGCGCTTAGCAGATTGGCACAGGAGAGGAAAGCCTGGAGAAAGGACCATCCTTTTGTGAGTAGCCGCGGCTCCGTTTTGCGACGAAGTGGGCAGTCTTCCTGCCTCGCGCTCTTTCTAAATGTGGCATCAGGCAGGAATGGCGCTCCTGTAAAACGGTTGCATGCATGGGAAATACGAGCCGAGCAGAGGACGCATGCTTTCCTTGTATTGGCTGAGAACAAAAGAAGAGTCCAGGCGAGCCCTAGATGGGGACCAGAGTAACTAGCAGCGATGGTAAAAGTGCCTGATTTGATTCTGTATTGGTAACAAGATGATTTCTGTTGATGTATTCTGAGTTCTTATTCTTGCTTCACAAGTAAAAAGTGTCTTGCTGCATCAGGTGAAGGGCCAGCATTCTTACCAACAGTTCCAGGTGATTCACCAGAAATTCACCAGAAATGGCCATTTTTTTTGTTCCAAATGAATGAAGAAGAGTGACTCACAAATTGTCATACTTAAATGTACTTGACTTCTTAGTCCTATGATGCTTCTTTGGCTCTGTGATGATGATGTAGTTGCAATCACACTTACTAGGGTCTAGGCCTCATTGAGGTTTCTGTCTAAGTGTGCATGCAATATTGTAGAAGGGGTGGGCAGAAAATAAACTTTCTCATAGTTTGGACTTCAGCTCTCAACATTCCTCAGGGAGATGAAGTCCCAAGCATCTGAGATGCGCCTTCTTCTCAACCCTGTTCTAGAGGACAGCATAACTTAAGTCTATCAGTTAAGTCTGTAGTACAGTTTTTATAGTCTGTGTAGTGGTCAGGGTTGCATATTTGAACACAAACCTCTTCTGTGATTATTGCTTTTGCTAGTAGGCACTCCCTCTTCCTGTGTGTTGATGTGATATCTGGCATCTTGTTCAGCTAATATTTTAATTGTTTTAGGGCTTTGTAGCAGTACCAACAAAAAATCCAGATGGCACAATGAACCTCATGAATTGGGAATGTGCTATTCCAGGGAAGAAAGGGGTAAGGTTTTGGATGCCTACTTTCCTCAACATTACTGTTCTTGGTAGATTTTGATTCGTATTTTTTGTAGACTATACTGTTATATTGGAATGCTAATATTTTATGTAATAATATTCAAATGATGCTGGGGTTGCTTACATAGTCAAACCATTTTCTTTAAATATACAATGGAAATAATTTATTTTAATATCCAAATCAAGTAATTCATTATTATTGTGTTTATAAGCTAAAATTGACCATTTTAGTGGCTATTATGGAGCTGTTGCCACCAGTCCCTTCTTCCAAGAAAATGTCTATAGAGGACAGTGTGAATATTTTTTTTTTGTATTTTTGCTGTAGTTCTGCTGCTCTTAATGAGAGAGTCTGCATTAACAAGACTAGTGCTTGGCCGTTCAGTATGTGCAGAATAGCTTCCACAAAAGGATAGCTTCCACAAAAGAATAGCTTCTACAAAAGTGAATCTGCCTGCAAAAGAAATGTGTACATTTCTTCATTGAACTAGCAATCAAGTCAGCATTTTTAATTTGATGTGATCTTAAAGCAGATCTGGAAGTATTTGCTGCTCTGCACAAGTCGTGTGTCTAGTATTTGACTTGTATGCTTGCTAGACTTTTCTCTGGAGAATAAACTGGCCTAGGCAGCTCAGCCCTCAAAGATGAAGTAGCATTGACAAACTTTTTCTCCTGTGTGTACTTTTCTCTCTGTTCTCTCCTTACAGACACCGTGGGAAGGTGGCTTATTTAAATTACGGATGCTTTTCAAGGATGATTACCCTTCCTCACCCCCAAAATGTAAGTCTAGTGAGATGAAAATCTTCTGTCTTCTAGTCAAAAGTTGCTAAATGACAGCATGCACAGCAACGAAATGATTCCCATATGTTGTGAAGGCACAGACCAAGCCACCAAGCCACCAGTAGTGATAATTTTTGGAAAGTATGTTATCAGCTCGCTGTATAAGATCTCTCCCTGTGTTTTCCTGCACAGAAATCTCACTGGAAATCCCTAGAGATGAGAAAATATTGCCCTGAAGCTCCACATTTGTTCTTCCTGTGTGTTTTTGCATGGTGCAAATGGCTATACAAAGACCATGTTAATTTGCATTTTGCCTTTGAGTGTGAACTTCCCCTTTTGGATTTTTATAAAAGGACTAATTTGAATTTATCTTTTGGTAGCTTTTAGGTTGAAACTCTTACGTTCTAGAGAGTTGTGTAGAAGCTATCAAGCATTACATTTATTTCAAGTAATGGATAAGTAAAATGTTTCTAAGTATTTTTTGTTTTGTTTTAAAGAGTGCTCCCTTTTAAAGAAGGTGTTTGTTATGTGTGTGGTGAGTGTATGTACATGCACATTTTTCTTTAACACAACTTCAAGAAAGTACTGAATTTAGGAAGCAAAGCACTCTACTTGCATGATCCAAGTAGGATATTGCATAATGCGAAATCCATGTCACTCTAACATGTATGCCCTGTTCAACATCTAAACAAGAGTTCAGAGTGGTAAACAAAGAAAACATAAAAAGAAAAAAACACTATCTGAAAACAGAATATCAATTAAAAGCTGTGGTCCATTAGTTCAGCAAAGCTTCTGGGAATAAAGATGCTCTTAGGAGGTACTGAACACAACAAGCAGAGACAGGGATGCCACATGGAAGGCTTTTCTCTGGGGAGGTCCAGTCAGGTCATAAATCCATGTTGAACCATCAGGGGCATGGCATCTGATGCCCCCACTTGAGTAAGGGCAGAGTACTCTCTTCCGTATCCTGGTCCCAAGTTGTTTTGGGCTTTATGTATTAGTGTATACCAGTGAACTGGTCTTGAGAGTACTAGCACCCATACCACTGTGGCCAAATTATTCCTGGTCTAGGAAGGCTGTAGCTGGTGAACAGGCTGAAGCTGGTAATAGTGATAAGCTAGATCTAGGAGTATTCCCTCACTACAGGCCTGATCTTTCAAAGCAAGTGGAGTCCCATCCAGAACTGGCTATGAGCCCATCTGGACTTGGGAAAAACTTGTCCATAGACCTTTCATTGGGCTTAGTTTATGGTCTTCATACAGCCTGTCATTTAGTCTAGACACTGATCCAGGCCTTGTGCAGCTTCACCTGGTTCCAATGTCACAGGGAGGTAGAGCTGGGTGCCATCAGCAAATCCCCTAATGATCAAGTTGTTGAACAGCAGTAGGGACAAGATGAAACCCTGTGGAACTTCCTCACTGTTTGCTAAGGAGTAGTCACCCAGTATCTGAAATCAACCCTGGAGGTAAGACCAGAACTGTTGTAGCAAAGGAGTGGAATTGCATGATACAAGAAGCCATGATGAAGGCTTACCATTGTGGATCTGTTGTGTCATCTGGATTGAGTTCCAGTGTCCCTGCAGAATAGGATTGGTTTTCTAAAACCACAGAGAATCAGTGTTCTGTTCTAAGTGTCCATGCTTTCCTGCAGCTTCTCAGGTTGTCCAAATCCAGAATCGCTGTTTTACCAATGTTGTTATGGAAACCCTGCCAAGAGCAGTTACTTCTAGCCTTCAATCCCTACTGCCTAGCAACAGATGCACCATTGCTTTCTTTATTCCCATTGACTGAGTGTCCATCCCATTTACTTTTGGAAATGGAAACAGTATGAAAATACATGGGTGGAGAGAGGGGGCACGGGATTGCAGCACCACTGGTTTCGTTCAGTTAGACTCTGTTGTGGGCTGGAGCAACTAGGAAGCACTGCAGCCATACAGGTACATGGGAGGGAGGAACCTGCATCAGAACCAAACTGGACTAATCAGTAGGAAGTTGCTGTGTTCCCTAAGCAAAAAAAGGCAAAGGATGGGGATTTTGCTCATGGGCTGCTTGGATGTGTGGCAAGGCTGGGAGCAGGGGGCATGGAAAATACGCTGCCCAGTTAACCATGTGATTGTCTGTCTGATAACTCCAAGCAAAAATCCATGCACAGTGAGAAAAGCACTATGTTTGCCAAGTTGTGTGAACCCAGCCAGGGCCTTTAGTGCCTACTTCATGGGTACTGAAGGAGAATAATACGGTTGATAACATCAAAACCTGAGAGCAGAATTCACAGGGCAGTGCTCCCACTGTCCCTTTCCTGATCAGGCTGCAAGGTCTGATTCAGTCCTGAAACCTAGACTGGAATGGGTCTACATAATTACTGTTCTGCAAGAGTGCCATGGATTGCTGTGCTGTGATCCTCTCAGGTGCTTTCCTTTAAGAAAGGAGAATTTGTGACTGGGTAACTGTTGTAGAGTATCATCATGTCCCCAGTGGGTATCTTCAGCCTTCAAGCAAAGATTCAGTTTTCTCCCTAAAAGTATGATGCAGGTTGCAGTGGGTCTCTGAGAGGACCATTGCCTCTGTTGGTGGGGAAAGCATTAATAGTTCTCATACCACCTGAGAGAGTTCTAATGCATGCCTACTTGATAATGCCATGTGGGCAGCAGTGCATGTGTTCTTTGCTGCCTGCTTTGCCACACAAGAGGCAAAATTACGTGCTCTGGGGTATGCTTGGCCATCTTCACTTTGAGCCTTGTGCTGATTGTGCTGTAGCTGACATCCAGCCTGTTTCATGGACTGCGGTTCCACAGTATACCAGAGAAGAGCGGGCCATGTAGTATCAAGGAGGACAGTTGGCTTCTCCCTGTTCCATGGCAAGACTAGGGCCTCAGCTGAATCACCAGTTCAGTCTGTTAGAAAATCCCTAAGTTTTCCAAAACCTATTAAGGTCCATAAGTCTCCTCTGGTAGGCCATCCAAATGGATCCCCCACTTCCTCAGGAGGGAAGTAACACCATGAACCTGTCCCCCATGTTCACGTATCTAAGTGAGATTTTTTTTCTTTGCTGTTAAATAGCCCAAATCGCTTTTCTCTTCTAACTCTGACTCTCAAGTTGGTTGAAAATTTTATTCCTATTTCAGTTTTATGTCATGATAGTGAGGCTTTATACGTAACTGGCTTAGTGTCTGAATTAGATTTTCTGTTCTGCAGGCAAGTTTGAGCCACCTTTATTCCACCCAAATGTGTATCCTTCAGGCACAGTGTGTCTGTCCATCCTAGAAGAGGATAAGGATTGGAGGCCTGCAATCACAATTAAACAGGTATGTTTTTGTGATGCCTGATTTTGTTAATGAGCCCTACAGATTAGGTCACATCATGAGAAAGGTGGGGCTAGATGAATCACAAGTTGGAATTAAGATTGCCGGGAGAAATATCAACAACCTCAGATATGCAGATGATACAACTCATGGCAGAAAGTGAAGAGGAACTAAAGAGCCTCTTGATGTAGGTGAAGGAAGAGAGCGCAAAAGTTAGCTTTAAACTCAACATTAAGAAAACTAAGATCATGGCATCCGGTCCTCTCACTTCTTGGCAAATAGATGGGGAAGAAATGGAGGTAGTGACAGTTTTTATTTTCCTGGGCTCCAAGATCACCGCAGATGGGGACTTCAGCCAAGAAATTAGAAGACGCTTGCTCCTGGGGAGGAAAGCTATGGCAAATCTAGACAGCATACTAAAAAGCAGAGGCATCACCCAGCCGACAAAAGTGCGTATAGTCAAGGTTATGGTTTTCCCAGTTGCAATGTATGGCTGTGAAAGCTGGACCATAAGGAAGGCTGAGCGCCAAAGGATTGAGGCCTTTGAATTGTGGTGCTGGAGGAGACTCCTGCGAGTCCCTTGGACTGCAAGGCGATCAAACCAGTCAGTCCTAGAGGACTGACTGCTCTTTAGAAGGCCAGATCCTGAAGATGAAACTCAAATACTTTGGCCACCTAATGAGAAGGAAGGAAAGAAGAGCCTAATGCTGGGAACAACAGATGGCAAAAGAAGAAGGGGGTGGCAGAGAATGAGGTGGCTAGATGGAGTTACTGAAGCAGTTGGCATGAGCTTAGGTGGACTCCGGTGGATGGTGGAGGATAGGAAGGCCTAGAGGAATGTTGTCCATGGGGTTGGACATGACTTTGCGACTAGCAACAACAGATTAGGTGGGGCTTGGATTGTCACTTGGAAACTTTCCTGGGCAGCCTGTAGAATGCATGGACTTAAATTATCTGATAGCCGGGCCTTTTTCTTAGCAACTTCTCACCAGGAAGCTGCTCTCTGCCATGTGAAACAGCTTGCTTAACTGCTTTGTATTGGCTAGTGATGGCTATCCAGAATCTTCCTACCTGATCTGTTTAACTGGAAGATTGAATGTTGGATAAAGTTGTGCTGTGACTTCTCTCCTACCAATTGTATCCATTGCTTTGAAAAGCAGTCTACAACAATTGGGCCATCTGCATACCTGGAAAAATAAGTATGTCTTTGTCTCGCGCTGCAAAGCCTACAGTATTGGCACCAGATCGACTCATCCTTGGGTTCCATAAGTCATGGGACTGTCATATGCAATATAGCAAGAGCAAAAATAAAATTCTTTACTGTGTAACTGTTTCCAAAAACAGATATAAATTCTGCAGACTTAAAAGCACATGGGCTTTGGATTATGCCCTAGTAGTATAAAGTATTACCCAGGGACATGATCTGCGCATGTTCATTATAGAACTTCAGAGTAATCCATTTTTTCTTTTCTCATCATAGATCTTGTTAGGAATTCAGGAACTCCTAAATGAACCAAATATTCAAGACCCAGCTCAAGCAGAGGCTTACACAATCTACTGGTGAGTAGCTTGTGCAGTCTGGACTTTTTGTGACTTTTTTCCTAGTAAAAGCAGATGTGAATATTGAAAGGAGTTTTCTTGTACCAAAGGTTCTGGAGAATTTGGAATTAAGAGAGAAAATGATAGTCATCTTAAAATATTTGAGGACAGTTAGATGATGGAGCAAATTAGTGCAAGGTTTGAATCAGTGAGTTTAAATGATGCAAATAGCAGCTTTGCAGGAGACATTTTGTAGCTGAGGAGGAAGGGGTTAAATCCTCTCATTTCATTTATTACATGCTTATACTGCTGAATAGTTAAAGCCATCTAGTAAATGAACAAATATTGAAAACGTTAAAAATACAGTACTATACACAATATAAAATATTCTGTACCCCCCTCCCACACCATTTTAACAATCAACAATAAGAAATTTCAGGACTCAGTTAAAAGCCTTATAATTCATTGCCAAATGCCTGAGAGTGAGGAAAGTCCTAAGCTGATGCTAAGAACTTAATACTGGAGCTAGGAGGGGCCTCACAGGGAGGATTTTTCCATAATTGGCTACTGAGAAGGCCCTCTCTGTTGTTGTCACCTCCAGAACCCCCCTCAGAGGAGGGCTTCAGATAATAAGGGTAGTGTCATGCCAGGAGGTGTGGTGGTTTTAGCCCTGTAATGTTGAGAGCAAGAGGGATGGCGAGCTTAGGCAAGCATTCTCACAGGATACCAGCCACATTACAGGTGCTGATTCAGATTCAGAAGAGGAGGAATGTTTCCACAAGATTGGGTTCAAGCTGTCGAGAGCCGAGGTTCCCTTTTCTAAAAAAATACCAGTCACAATCTGTTTTCCTTGCAAATATTCTTTATTGCTTCAAGTACAAGTCACCCAGACTAAAACTCTGAGCATGTACAGAGTGGTGATTACCTCCAAGGACTCTCCTTATGAATGCATCTGTGCTGCAATCCTTCAAGAGGGGCTCTCTGAAGGCAGGCATGCCTCTTTTCTGTGCAATGTTTATCTAATTGGGCCTCTTGCCTCTGCTGGTACCTTGCCATAGGGTTCAGCTCAAAGGGAGGGGGATGGTCTGCCTCTGAGAGTTCCTCATGCCCAGTGCCCCTCCCCCCCCATGGCTGTTTCTCTAAACCATTCCCAGGATCTGTCTGGCACAAAAAAGTGTCTGCCCTCGCCCCCCCCCCCCCCCCCCCCCCCCCCCCCGTTGCATCCCAGGACCTTGAGCTAACCCATGTTCCCCAATCTCACTGAAATATTCCTCCTCTTCTGAATTTGATTCAGTACCTGTGATGAGACTGGTATCCTATAGGAAAGCTTGCCCAAGCCCCACATCCCTCTGGCTCCCAACATGTACGTCAAAATCAGAATCGGGTAGAAATGTCTTACTGAATCAGGCTTGGAAATCAGGCAGCCCATTAGTGGACCAGAACTGGATCTTTTGGCTTTCATTATCCATCCAGTCACTGCACTTTGTACAAGCTGCAACTTCTAAACCATCTTCAAAAGCATTCCCATGAATTGCAGTAATCAGTAATGCAAGGTCTTAGATGACTGGAATAGGATATCCTTGACCAGGTATAGGCATAGCGGGGATACCAGCCAAAGGCATTCTGTACCATGGAGGCCACCTGGGCTTCCAGGAGAACCCCACATTGTGAATGTGTTTCATCAGGGTACTGTTCCACCCAGGTTGAGCACCCTCTGATCTGGTCAGGAGAACCAAAAGTATATCACTCTTACTGGCCGTCAATCAGTCCGTTGTCACTGCCTGGCATTGATCTAGCACAGCTGCATCTGCATACTGGTAATAATGCATTCTAGAACCCTGCACTACCATGTTCAACAGTTTCCTGTAGATATTAAATTGCATGGGGGACAAAACTGACTCCCAACAGAATGAACCTTTCAAGTAAGAGGGAAATCCATGCGAGGCAAACCCTCTTCCAACTCAAGATAATTTTCTCCTTACACCATTTATCCATGACAGTTACAATCCTGTCTGATTTGAATACTTGTTTGCATTTTTAAAATTACAAAGACACATGTAATGTTGTATCCAATTTGGCCTTTGGTTTTCAAATGCTCCACATAACAACTTTAGGTAAGGATACAATAAGGAGAGCGTTTTAAGAAAGGCCAGCAATCTTTTTATTTATTTATTTTAGATGTGAGTGAGACATCAGGCAGAGAAAGGTGTTTTCCTAATTTGTAAAGAAAATGATGTGAACCAAGGTTCCCAGTTACTTGACCAGATTTCTTCCTCGTTTCCAGTTACTTGACCAGATTTCTTTTATCTTGCAATCATTAGTGAATCAGCTTGAAATGTTGCTATACTTTCTTTTGTAAACTCTTACAATTACGTGAGCTGCTTTGAGCAGCTGACCATGGACAAAGCAGCAAACATACACATTTATAGTACAAGTTTCTTTTAAAAATCTGTACTTAAGCAACAGTCTGCTGAGGAGAAGCCCATGTTGTACATGAGGTTTCAGTGACTGAAAAACAATGTTTCTAGAACTCCGCTGGCTGTGTTCTAGGGATGCTTTCTCATGATAGAAAGGTAGGTCTGCTGCTCCTTGAGGATGGGAATGGGCACTGACGAGATCTCTCTAACCTCTGTCTATAAATTCCTTCTCCATCCCTTCAGTAGGATAGCAACCGGTGAGAGTTTAAATACCAGTGTTCTTTACGCCCTTATTTTCTCAAACTCCTCATTAGGGAGTATCTAATCTTGTGCACTCCAATCCTTGGATATGAAGTCACCTTTCTTTCTTCTTATTTAGCCAAAACAGAGTGGAATATGAAAAGAGGGTTCGAGCACAAGCCAAGAAGTTTGCACCATCATAAGTTCCTATCATCCAGCATCTTTAAAGGAAGGGATTAATTGGCAAGAACTTGTTTACAAAACTTTTGCAAATCTAATGTCGCTATGTACGATTAATAGTCACTTAGGGGAGGGGGTTGTATGTGTGCCATTTTCCATATTCGCCACTTGTATACAGTTCTAAATTTGCTGAATTGCCCCCAGTTTTTTCATACAGGGTCTCTTCCTTCAGTCTTTTGTATTTTTGATTGTTATGTAAAACTTGCTTTTATTTTAATATTGATGTCAGTATTTCAACTGCTGTAAAACTATAAACTTTTATACTTCTATAAATTCACTAGTTTCTCTAGTTTCTTTGCTCTCTGATGCAGGCATGCATTAAGTTGTTTAGAAGTATATTTTGCCTCTACCTGGCTGTAAGAAAAAAAACATGCCCTCCACCTTTTTCTTTTTCTACCAATAAGGAATTAGGCTGTTGTTGCTTAAAAGCCTCAGATCCAAAGTCAGCCAGCATCTTGATTCTGCGTCACTTCCTTTGTGTTTATGGCGTTTTGTCTGTGTTGCTGTTTAGAGTAAATAAACTGTTTCTATAAAGCTCTTTGTCTTGCTTTTTCCCATAAAGATTCAACTGTCCCGCCAATTTTATAGAAGCCTCTGTGGGGAGCATATTAGGCAAGCACAGGAGAGAAATCTGTATGAAATCCTGAAGAGCCATCACCAATTGGCTGGATGGACCAGGCCAGTTACTTGGGTAGTAGCCCATAGCTATGCATGCAGAAGGTCCTAGCTTCAATCACTGCCTCTCAAATAGCATGACTAGAAAAGATCTTTCCGCCTGGAGAGCTGCTTTTAAGATACAGGGGTCAGCACTAGCACAAGTTCAGCAGGAATGGGTACACTGACTGAAAGCAGAATTCCCCCAAGTTGCATGGGAAGAACTGGAAATAACAAGTATGTAATAATTCTCACCTAGCATTTGTATCCTGCTCTTCCTTAACCACGCTCAGGATGGCATGCATGTCTGTTGCTGTATCTGTTTTCACTACAGACCTGTGTGACTAGCTCCCCTGAAAATGGGAACTGCTGCAGAATAAACTAGAGCAAGCTTTCTGACTGTGTTCAGTCTTCTGGTCCAAGTCAGGCACTTCCCTTCACATAAGCTTCCTCTACCAAACTTTTAATGGTTTTATAATCACATGTATACTGTTATCTGTATGAAAAACACTTATTCAGATGTTGTCTTTAGGAAGTTATAAATCCTTTATGCAGTAAGCAATTCCGGTTTCTTTATGAGAATCCATAATTTGACAGCTACCAAAGAAACCCAGCTTGGATTGGCTGTCAACTGGATGCTACTTACTCCCTTCTTGGACCAAGTAATCAATAGTAACAATCACTCTTGGATGAAACCAACTCAATTATGTCACACTTTAGGCCTAGTTTTGGGGCTAGAAACTGTCATATTACTTTAGGGGGAAGTGTGCGCTTTTGATTTTCGCAAACCTCTTGCAAGCTTTGATCAACTGTCTTATCCTTCCGGACAGCATATCTTGAGCTGGGTGTGGAAAGCAGTGTTTGACAGTTCCTAACTTGGATGGCCAGTACTAGAAAATGGTGCCAGGGAATGAATGCTAAATTGCCCAGGGTGATCAAGTTTTCAATTCCATTTTTTCTCAATTTGTATGTGTTTATTACATTTACAAATATATCCCACTTTTATCCATTATGAAACTCAAGATGGCTCCATGAGCTTTCCTCAGATACCCAGACCCAAATGTGCTTAGCTTCAGCAAGGTGGCTGCCTTGTGTATGGTACAACTATGTCCTGGAGGCAATGCTATTCAGCATCCACTGGTGATCCATATGGAAGACATCCCACTGTGCCAGTTTTTCATTTGACACCAGCAGGTTGGTGTGTGCTTGGATAAGACAAAAGGTGGCAGACCTCGTGCATGGATGGTGTTCAGCCTGTTGCACCTCGCCCTAAAGAATCAGGTTTGTAATCTCAAACCTTTGAGATTTGAGAAAAAACTTTGTAATTTCAAAGTATGAAGCACCACTGTATTCTAAACTCACATGCTAATTCAAATATAACTTTTCCTCTAGTGAACAAAGGAAGACCAGTGTTACTTCCCTCCCTTCCTTGAAAAGTGAGAATAATCTTGGTGTTTCTTCAGACTGCTTAGGAAGGTGAGCTAGGGTCAAAAATGGCTTCCTGCTTGGTAGTTTTACCATTTCTTATATCCTAAATGTCAGTTCCTCTCTGTGCTAGCATTAAATTTCACAAATACTGTTGTCCATTGCTACCATAGTTTCTTAAAAGTACAGATGAGCAATTTGTGGCTCTTTGGAGGGCCAATTCCAATTGGATATGGTGGAGTAGGGCTGCAGGAGTTGAAGGCCAAAACATCTGTTGAACAAGACATAACCAGAGAGGAAAAAGGATGTATGTCCCATCTGCACTGACCAGAGCATTCATTGCCAGCTACCCACTCACAAGCTCTCTGAGACATAAAGACAACATAATTAAGAAATGAAAATAGTAACTTCCAAGAAGCCGAATATGGCCCAATTTCATGGAGCCCATAACTTCCAATTGAGAAATGAAGACCAACTTCACAGGTGTAGAAACTCATCCCAGTTTATTTCCACCAAAATATATCTCAATATATTTTACTAATAGCAGTAATGTGTATACTACAAGAAAAAGACAAGAATGCTTTCACTAGCTGGAGGCAGTTTTCTACAAGAGAAAGTCCTCAAAAGCCTTAGACTATGAACTATACAACTAGGTGGCTTGCCCTTGTGGTTAAACTGAGCTATCATATGACCTATTCTAAGCATGCTGTTTTAGAAATAAAACCCACTGCTGAGTTCAATGGTACTTCCTTCTGCATCAGTTTAGGATTGGTGCCCTAATCTGTCCATTGTTTTCTCCCACTCAGCTGGCTTTCTGTGTGTACTATGTGTTGCATCCAGATCTTCTAAGCTGTCACTGCTGCCTCCACCACTGTCACGCCCTCATCAGTATCTTCAGATGTTTCTTCACCTGAACTTTCATCTCCAGCTGTTACTCTACAAACAGAGATCAGTATTACACAAGCCAATGGTAAGCTCTGAAGACACAGATGAGATGCACAGCACAATCCTGTACATGTTTATTCAGAAGCAGGTCCCACTGAGTTCTCAGATAAGCAGATAAGGTTGCATCCCCCAAGGTCTTACCCTAAGGCTCTGGCAGGCCTGTTGAGATTAGCAAACTCCTTTCCAGAATCAATGTCAAAGGGATCTGGAGAGAAGAGAAAAGATGGTTTAGCTCCATTCCTCTTTTTCTTCTCTGGAAAGACAGAATATTTACTTTCCACCTTTCTGGATATAAACCCTTTTAAGGCAGTTTACAAATAAAATTTAATTAGGAAGTACTAATAAAATCAAAACATTGTGATTCATAACTGCCACAGTGGTAAGTAAACAGACCTGGATGGGGCTGCTTTCCTCATGAGCAACAATGGCACAACCATGCATACAACCAGCCACTAGTAAAACTACTAGGCTGGGGGGGAGGAGCAGGCACCAGGACTGTCTATGAGTCAACCTCAGAAAGCTTCCATAGCCTGTAGTGGTTTTACAAACTCCATCTTCATGGTACTGATAGCCTTATCCAAGACTTAAAAACTAAAGTGTTTGGGGCTGCCTCTGAAGAAAGTTTGTCCACTCCAATTGATACAAGACAAGACCTCCCAGAGGCTGGTGGGGACAAGGCTGTCAGAAAACAAAACACTGCTTTTCCAATGGCTACTAATAAACTTCTGTTCCCAGTTCAAAGTAATAGGAACAAGTGGTTTACATGACCATTTTCACCCATATAACCCTATGCAAACAATGGGACCTAGGAAAGGGTTGCTTCTCAAACATTCATGATTAGTTTGCTGTGAACAAAGAAGAGGCCACCTTGGCAGTGGATTCAGCACTGGAAGCTCCTTTTTACTGATACATGTGGTTTCTGTTTACAACTGGCTTCGACTGAATTTCAATGGCTTGTGTGATCAGAACTGCTTTACAAAATATTCTGGATGCTCATTGTTCTATAATTCTGCTTGTTTACATAAGAGTACAATCCAGTGAGGTGAGGGAAGCAGAGACCCCTTGGCCTCACCATTCCTCCTGCCCTGCACATCTGCTAAACGGCCAATTTTGACCACCTAGCTTCAGCACTTTAGACAGGGAGGTTAGGAGACCAGAGCACTGCTGCAATACAGTGTACCCTGAAGGATCCAGTCTCCTCCCTTCCCTAACCATGGTGAGGCCCACTACCCATTCTCCAAGTGGCTCTTATGACCTCAGAAAAGCAGCTGGTGGGTTTTGTCCATGTCAGCCACAAGGCAGCGTGGAGTGTGATGCAAACCCTGATCCCTAGCTCCAAGGTTGGAGCTCTTCCCTAACTTCAGATCTGAAAATCTCAAATCTTACAGCCCATTAGACACTAAGGACCATAAGAATGCTCTGCAGGTATACTTTAATTTCTAAACAAAATTAGAAAATTTGTTTCTTGTCTCCCCTTCCTGGGGTCACCAAAGCTATGCCATATGGAGTTTAACAGATGGACTGACACCCCAAAGGGAGGCAGAAAGCAGCTATGCAACGGTGCACCACTCGATCTGCAAGAAAAAGAACACGATTGTCTCAAAGTCTCAAAGAAGAAGCAAAAGATGGTAACTTCTTGCCTATTTCTTCTTTTGTTTCAGCATGGGTCAGGAATTCTCTCTCAACTCTCAGCACCTCCTCTTCACAGCTGCAGGCTGCATATCTTTCCAACAGGTCTCTGTTCACATCAAGGAATACTTCTCCCCACTTAAATTTTTGCAAGAGCATTGTGGCAAGATCAGAGAATCCTAAAATAAGGATAAGGAGGTAATACATTTTTGTAACTTGTTGACCTATACAATGTAGGCCTCTGGTTGCAATTTAAAAAAAAAAAAATTAACCATGACCAGTAAAGAGGACCATGTCTCCAATATCTTGGATTAGTTCAGATTGAGATAGGCTACTCAATAAAAAGAAACACTGCAGTTACTGCAATCATTAAGAATTTGTTTTGCTATCTGATTTTGTTTCAGAATTTACTTTGCTATTTCAAAAAGAACCAAAAACAACTGAGAGAACATGGGGAAAGAAGCATTGTAGGAAAACTATGCCAACATTTCTCAGCATCAGAAACCCTCCCTTGACCCTGCCCTCAAAACATTTTCTAACCTGCATATCAAGGATGCACATCCAGGAGCATCCTTCACATAAGGCAAAGACTTAGACCTACCACCTTTCCTCCAGCCTCACCCACAATGCATAATGTAGCAGCAAAAGCTTCCACGCAGGAAAGTTTGCAGGGCCGGCCATAATTCACTGGATTTGCAGCCACCAGGTAGGGCAGCAGCCGGAGATGGTTTCCTTTCATCTTGCTGAATGGTGTCTCCTCCAGCTTTGCCCAGGAGCAGTCAATCACCGCAATGCCATTCTGAGCCACGACCTGCCTGAAAAGACAGCAGCAAATCCAAGCAAAGGCAGTGCCAGAGGCTGGAGCTCCGATCCTCTAAAGAAGTGGTTTTCAACCGTTCCACAGCTGGAGAACAGCAAAAATAGAAAAGCCACCTGGGTGACTTAAGGCAGAAACAAAAAGCACCGTACATATCAACCAGTATTCTGTATTAATTTCCAAACACAATACTGATCTGGTGAGCAGGGGTTTTTGGCCTTCGGAGGCTTCCTGCCGGTCTGCAGAGGGGCCACATCCCTCTGGATACGGACTGACTGGAGGTGCTCCAACACCTCTTCCACTGTCGGCATCGAGCTCGTGGGGGGTGCTTCGAGGCCACGGGGGGGGGGGGGAAGGGGGGCGAGGACTTTTTGTTTCTGCCTCAAAGGTCCTTGGGGTGGTTCCCCTGTTTTCGCCAGTCCCCAGCTCTGGAAAGGCTGAAAGCCACTGCTCTAAAAGGCCCCTGCCCCACCACCGCGCTCCAAGCATCTCGGCTGCACCTGCCCGCGGATTAGCCGCCTTTTTGCCCACACCTGCCCTCCCTCCGCCGCCTCCCCGGGAAACGCTCGGCTGACGTGCCCCTCTGCGGTCTTCCGCTCCCTTTCGCAGGCAGGTCCCTCGAGGAGCGCGGGAGCGCACAGGCTCCGAGCGCAAGCATAGCCGGCTACCTCTCGCCCTGCACGTTCGTTCTCGCCAGCCAGCGCAACTCCCGCACCCCCGCCGGGGCTCTACGGGTTGCACCGCGCGGCCCGGGACCCCAAGGGGGAGCGCGAGGCGGCGGCGGCGGCGCCCTCACCTGTCCGCGGGGCAGACGTGGCGCGCCGCCATCGGACTGAGCACGAGGCCTCCGAAGCGCTGGCCCAGGCGCAGCGGCCGCACCAGCCCCTTCCGCGCCAAGCGCCGCCCGGTGCAGCGCCTCCGGTCGCAGTGGCCCAGCTCCCACATGGCCAGCGGGCACCGGCGGCAGCCTTCGGCAGCGCCGCCCTGCGCGTCCTCGGCCGCCGCCCCTGCGCCGCCGCCCTCCAAGGACTCTGCGGGGAGAAACAGCGCGAGTCACGGGCGCGCACAATGGCCCCGCCCCGCCCGGTCTCGCCGGCACTCACCGCCCAGCGTCGCGGGAAACGTCTCCAGCGGCCCCCGCGCGGGCTGAGCACGCTGAGGCGGCCGCCGCCGGCCCCCCCGCCGCCGCCCCCCCATGGCTGCACGCGCCGGGACGAGAGCTCGGAGGCGCCCCGGAAGCGCCCGCGCAGCTTCCGCTTCCTGGCGACGGGAGGCGGGCGATGGCGGGCGGCGGCGCGGCGGCGCTGGCCCTGGTGCTGGCGGCAGGTGAGGTGCCTCCCCCCCGGCCCCCCGCGCCCGCATGCCCCTCTCCTCTCCTCTCCTCTTCTCTACTCTCTCTCTCTCTCCCCCCCCCCCCCACTCGCAGGGCTGGCGGCCGCTGGGAAGATGAAAGTCGTGGAGGAGCCCAACAGTTTCGGGTGAGGCGCGCGCGCGAGGGGGCGCGAGGGGGGGGCGGGCGGCGGGAGGCAAAGCGTCCTGAAGGGATTGGTGTCTCGTTCTCCCTCCAGGCTGAACAACCCCTTCTTGCCTCCGTCCAACCGCCTGCAGCCTAAGGCCGGCCCCTCTCCGCTCTCAGGTGAGCTCCGCGGGAGGGCAAGGGTGAGGCCGGGCCCTGGGCCTGGGCGGGGCGGCGGCGGCGCCCCGGAGGAAGCGCCCCGCTCGCTGGACGGCCAGAGTCGGCGGGTTACGGCGCCTCCGCCCGCGAGCCTCCTCTGAGCCGCACTGCTCGCCTTCCAGGGCCTGCGCACCTTTTCCGGCTGGCGGGGAAGTGCTTCAGCTACGTGGAATCGATGTAAGTGGCCCGGGGCTGGCGGGGCGGCCCCTGCGAGGCTGCCCGGGACGGAGGGCTCAGGCGTCTGTGTCGTTTAGGTACAAGTACGAGTTCTGCCCCTTCCACAACGCCACGCAGCACGAGCAGACCTTCCGCTGGAACGCGTACAGCGGCATCCTCGGGTAAGAGCCCGCCGGCCTCTCTCGGCTGTGCGCTGCGGCGGAGCGCGGGGAGGGGAGGGGAGGGGAGTCGCTGCTCTACTGTAGCAGAAAACGCCTTCCGGTACTTTCCAGATCATCTTAGCTTTGGAAAACTTGGGCGCTGCCCTTGATTTGGCTTTTGTACCCTGTAAAACTGACCTACAGTTTTATGTATCATGTAACCCTGTAGCTTTTCCTTATAATCTATCCTCTTTCCTTTGCCTGCTGAAGGAAAATGAAGGCTCATAACATGGTTTCCAAGTGGCACACCAATCCTCTGCTTTGAGTCAGATAAAAGAAGCACCTCTCTCAGTGTCCATCAGGTTCTCTGCCTTTAAAAGTTTTTCCTTTTAAAAAAACATTCCTTTCAAAACATAACTGGAACAGTAAAGCAAGGTACCAGCTTACAGTTATGCCTTTATCACCAGGAATGCCATGGGGCAGTGCTGGAAGTTGGTGTACACAGTTCATCGATGCAGAAATACTGGGCAACTGTGTGGTGTTTTCCTCTTGTTCGCAGGGTTTTCAAGTGGTGTTTGCTGGTGTTGTTTTGTCCTGAATTCTGTGTATGTGGTCTTGTGGGAGAAGAATGTTTTGCCCATTTATTTTTGTAGCACAAAATTCCCTTCTGTGTAGTAAACATTTTATTGTGCTTTGTGGGGATGAGTAGCTTTGCATTGTGTGCTCAGGCAGGGGTGATCAAGTAAAAAAATATTTACTTAGACTTGCAAAAAACATTGAAGGCTCATGACCCCATTTAACAGTCATGGAATAAAAGGATGGGTCCTCTTATAAATCACCAAGTGGTTAAATAACAAAAGTCAGAGAGTGGAATAAGTGGCTATTTTTCTCAATGAAGGATGTGACCAGTGCAGTCCCATGGGGTTCTGAATTAAAACCAGTGCTTTCCAACCTATTCATAACTGATCTGCAATTAGTAGTAAGCAGTGAAATGACCAAGATTGAGGTAGTTAAAACCGAAAGGAACTGTCAGGAGTTGGGGGCACCAAGCTTGCGAGAAGGAACAGCAAGACAGTAAATGCAGTCCAACATAAGTGTAAAGTAATGCATATTGGGGCAAGAGATCCCAGCCATAGGGCTCTAAGCTAGCAGTAACTGAGCACGAAAGGGCTTTTGGAGTTGTGGTAGAATGCTCAATTAAATGTTGGCGCAGGGTGTGGCTGCTGTGAAAAAGGGCAAACTCCATGTTAAGCACAATTAGAAATGGAACAGAAAAATAAAACTGCCAAGCTCATATTCTCATACAAATCTTTGGTAAGACTGCTTTTAGGCTGTTGTGTACAGTTCTGAGTGCCTTATCTGAAAAAGGGCATTTTTGAGTAGGAAAACGTACAGAAGAAGGGCAACAAAAAAGACGTAGGGGCTGGAACAACTCCCCTATAAGGAGTGGCTGCAACAATTAGGGCAGCCTAATTAGAATATTAGAAAAATATGAGTAAGGGGAAACATGACAGAGGTGTTTAAAATTTTGCATGATGTAAAGAAAGTGAAGAGGGAGACATTTTTTTCCTTCTCCCATAGTACATAACATGATTTTCCACAAAGCTGATTGGTGGAGGTTCAGGACATATGAAATGAATTATCTCTTCAAATAATGTATAATTAAATTATTCACTGCCACCCAAAGTGGTGATGGTCAGCAGTTTGGATGGCTTAAAAAGGGGATTGGATGCTGCCGTCTGTGGGTCTGCTGGCTGTGTCACCAGATGTGGCATGCCTCTGCAGACAAGTTGTGGAGGAGCATGGGCAGGCTGAGGTCTTGCACCCACCCTGCTGAAGGAATCCTGTGGGCAGCTGGGTTGCTGCTCTGAATGGACCTTTGGTCTGATATTCTTATGTATTATGCCAATCCAATCAATGACCAGGTTAAATGACTGATTCATGCTGGCTGGTTGAGACAGGGTTGGGGTAGCTTCAAATAGCAGCCTGGGAACTGTTTGAAATTGTTTGATGTCTTTGCACTGCTTTGATTTTCACTTTGATTTTTGATTTGTACTGTATTTTAAAACTTCTAGATCACCATTTAAGGTGTTGCATTTTATGGTTTAACTGTGAATTATGTGGAGAATTGCAGCTATTGGACATTATAAAAATAATAAATAAACAACCCCCTGCCCATAGAGTCACTGGTAAAGGAACATGGGAGTTGCAGTCCAACATCTAGAATGCTGCAAGTTGGCCACTCCTTCCTTTTTAGGTAATCATCTTTGGGGTTTTTTTTTGTTTGTTTGTTTTCTTGGTTTTTTTAATAAAATTCAAAAATGAAAGGGGAATCAATATTTATTTGATTGAGCTGAAGAAATATGATCCTGCAAATAATCTTGTAGCTACAAATTAGCAGTTCCTGCAAAATTTTCAAGAGCAGTCCAGCAGAGAACAAATTTCAGAACTTTCACTTGGAGATCACAAAGGTTGCTGGAAGACACTGTGTTTATGGAGGCTTCTTGAGCCTCCAGTAAAGATGTGCCCCCTAAAATAGTTAATCTGGCCTTCCAATTGGATTTTTATTTTTTTTAATTGTCATTCTTTTCGTTGGTTTGTTTTGTTTTGTCTGGAAAAACTAGACGTGTAAAGTCAGGGAAGGGATAGGCAAGGGAAGAAGGCAGGGCCTGTGAGGGGTGCCCTATGGCAGGCCAGGAGATGGCCCTGGCGGGAATCACGTGTGTTGCTGTCTGCTGTGACACCTGTGACATGTTTGCCCTTCACCCTCAGGAAGGGCAAACACTTGCCCTAAGTACAAGCTGGTGTCCCTTCTAGAGGAGGAAGTGAGGAACCTGAGAGCCAAATGAGCTTTCCAGGCCAACTGGGAGCAGCCTCCCTCTGGACAGAAGGTTGAGGGAGGGGCCAAGCGGGAAACAGTAGGCGAGGCATGGAGGCATGTCACCCATGGGAGGAAGAAGCCAGCATGGCCTACTCCATCACCTAGTGCTGACCTGGAGCTAGGAAACAGGTTCTCTCTGCTTGGGGAAGCTGGTGCTGATGAGGACTTGGGAGACTGACCTGTTCAGGATCCCCAGCCTGGGGCCAGATGCAGCCAGGTGGTTGCTGCAGGAGAGGCAAGGGTCAAGGCTCTGGATGCGAGTGATCACTCCATCCTTTGCTTTGAGAGCAGGGGAATGGGGATGAATGGCAGGTCAAGTATTAGACGCTGGGACTTTACAAGGGCCAACTTTGGTCAATTGAAGACTAAACTGGGGAATGTCTTCTGCAAGAGGGTACTGGAAGGCAAGGGAGTTGAAGAGGGGTGGATGGCACTAAAAGGGAAGGTTGTGGAGGCACAAGCCTCTAGTTAGCAAGGTGGGGAGGTGAAGGAGAGTGCCGCCATGAATGAGGAGAGAAGTGGTAAGAAGCATTAGGTGTAAGAGGAACCTCTGTAGAAAATAGATACTGAGGCAAGTAGACAAAAGGTATACCGGGGGGAGGGGGCTCACTGCTGAAGGATTCTTCGCAAGGCTAAGGCTGATTATGAGCTGACTTGCAAAGAATATCTGGAGCAACATAAAGGGCTTCTACCGACATGTAAATAGCAAGAGGAAGGGGAGACAGGTGGTGGGACCGCTTAATAAGGAGGAAGGGGATTCACTGACTGATGTGAGGGAACAGGCACAGATGCTAAATTGTATTTATTATTGAAACCTTTTGTATGCCATCCCCCATGCAAGGCATCTCGGGACGGCTCACAATCAATACGTTAAAACAACAAATGAAAACACATACATTAAAACAATCCAAGCGGTAGAAGCAATAAAATGTGACTGTTACATTAATACTAGGTTTTAAAATACCACTTAAATAAAAAGGTTTTGACTTGGCACCGAAAAGAGTATAAGCTCGGCGCCAGGCAAACCTCTTCAGGGAGTGTATTCCATAAATGACTATTTTGCCTCTGTGTTCTCTCCAAAGCAGGATGGGGAGATCCTCATGGGGGATCAGATGAAGCCAGGGATTTAGGAGCACAGATTAGAGTCACCCCCCAGAAATCAAGGAATTCCTCAGGGCACTGGATGTTAAAGGCGCCAGGTCCTGATGGGTTACACCCGAGGGTACTTGTGAGAGTACTCCCACCAACTCCTCTATCTGCTGGCCTCCAATTTTGAGGCCTCGTTGGAGAATGGGTGAGGTTCCTGAGGACTGGAGGGTGGCATCAGTGATCCCAATCTTCAAAAAGGGTAGCAGAGGGGACATGGGGAGTTACAGGCCAGTTAGCCTTACGTCCATTATGGGAAAGACGGGAAAGGCTCATAATAGAAAATGCTCTGGAGTTCTAGGAGGTTGGCAGCCATGCAAAACAGTTTCTGCAAAAGCAGGTCCCGCCAGATGAACCTTGTGGAATTCTATGACCAGGTTTTAAGGTGGCTGGACGGAGGGGATGTGGTGGATCTGGTTTATCTGGATTTCAGCAAGGCCTTTTACGAAGTGCTGTATTGAAGAACTCCCAAAATTGAGGAATTTTGGGATAGACTGATGGATTAGCTGATTAGTTTGATGGATTAGCTGATGGACCAAAAGCAGAGGGTTACTATTAACGGGGAATCATTGGGATGGTGGATGATGACAAGCAGGGTCCCCCAGGGCTCAGTCCTGGGGCCGATCCTGTTCAATTTTTTCATCAGTGACCTGGAGGAGGGGGTGACAACTCTGCTGATCAAATTTGCACATGAGGGCAAATGACTATAACTGAGGAGCAGGTACTCCAGATCTGGAGTAGGTACTCCAGATGGGCATTGTAAGTACAGGGTAGGTAGGGGACAAGAGGCTGGAGAGCAACGCTTGTGAAAAGGATCTTGGGGTGCTGGTCAACTACAAGCTAAACATGAGCCAGCAGTGTGACACGGCAGTCAAGAGGGCAAACACCACCCTTTAATGCATAGCCAGAAGCATGGCTTCTAGATCATGGGTCCTCAAACTACGGTCTGGGGGCTGGATCCAGCCCACCATGCCCATTTATGTGGCCTGCCATGCCCATTTGGACCTGCTGCATGCAAGCACCCGCACCACCTTTCTAGCTTGCGCCCAGCACCTGCAACTTTCAACTGGTCCCCTGGTGGAAAAGTTTGAGGACCCCTGTTCTAGATTGAGAGAGGTATTGCTGCCGCTCTGTATGACTCTGGTGCACCCACAGCTGAAGTATTGTATTTAGTTCTGGGCCCCTCATTACAAGAGGGATATAGCAAGGTTGGAATTAGTGCAGCAAAGGGCCACTAGGATGGTGGCTGTTTTGCAGGGTATGCTATATGAGGAGAGACTGAGGGAGCTGGGTCTTTTTCAGTCTCAGAGGGGACCCGTTAGTGACATACAGGTATGTGAGGGGATGCCACACAGAGGTGGGTCATGACCTTTTTCCCCCTGCAGAGAAGGGCAGGATGCATTGCAATGGAACAAAGCTCAGGGGACCAAGATTTAGGTGGATGCCAGGAAATACTTCCTCACCCAAGGGTATTGAATGGGCTTCCATGGGAGGTGGTTGAAGCCCCAACAGTGAAGGTGTTTAAAGATAGGCTGGACAAGCACATGGTAGGCAGGTCATGAGTGGAGCCAGGAGTCAGACTAGATAGCCCAGGAGGCCCCTTCTGACTCACTCTGTTTTTATGTTCTATGACAGATTGAACCCACTTCTGTATTCAGACAGATGTCTACCAGCATTACATTTTCCCAAGCAGTGGTTCATCTCTATCAGATGGAAGGTTCAGTTCCATCTTCTGGAGTTAGTTGTCAATGCCCAATATGCTTGCTTGGCTTTCCAGGTATTTGATGGTATGAAAAACCACTGAGCAATACAAAAAAAGGAATAGAATCACACTCTGAAGAGGTGATCTTCAGGATCCTGAAAACAGTTTACATGCATAAATGTGGACCGAAACTAAATAATAATAATAATAATAATAATTATTATTATTATTATTATAACATTTCTATGCCGCCCCTTGCCGAAACCTCGGGGCGGCTTACAACATGATAAAATACATTGAAATACAATAGTACATAATAAATTACCATAAAATACAAAAATACAAAAAATACATTGATTTACAAATATAAAATTAAAATTATCAGTATAAACTAAAAATATAGGAGGAGAAAGAGAAGGAAGAAGAAGTTGCCCTGGCCAGATCATATGTTTTAACAATTGAAATGATGTTTAAATAAAACGGTCTTTACCTGGCGCCGAAAAACCAGTAACGACGGTGCCAGGCGGACCTCTTCGGGGAGTGAATTCCATAGGTTGGGCGCCACCGCAGAGAAAGCCCTCCTCCGGGTACTTACTCTCCTAATTTCTTTCATGGAGGGTTCCCGGAGAAGGGACCCTCCCGCAGATCTCAAAGGGCGGTCGGGCATATATGGACGTAAGCGCTCGTTCAGGTAGCCAGGACCCAAGCCGTTTAGGGCTTTATAGGTCATAACACCTTGAATTGGGCCCGGGCTTCAATGGGAAGCCAGTGAAGCTGACGGAGGACTGGAGTCATGTGAGCATAACGCCCCGTCCCCGTCAGCAACCTGGCAGCTCTATTTTGCACCAATTGAAGTGTTCGGACTGTCTTCAGGGGAAGCCCCACGTAAAGCGCGTTACAGAAGTCTAGGCGGGAAGTCACCAGTGCGTGTGTCACCGTCGCCAGGCAGTCGTACTCCAGGTAGGGGCGCAGCTGATTAATCAGCCGAAGCTGAAGGAAGGCGTTCCTCGCTACCGCTGTCACCTGAGCTTCCAAAGAAAGCTCCAGGTCGAGGAGTACTCCTAAGCTGCGGACCTTATCCCTAAGAGGGAGTGTTGCATCATTCAGGACCAGGTCAAATCCACCCTCTCCGAAACCCGATCCGCCAGCCAACAGGACCTCCATCTTGTCTGGGTTGAGTTTCAGTTTATTGGCCCTCATCCATTCCCTTACCTCGGCCAAGCACCGGTTCAGCACAGCTACTGCCTCACCTGGATTAGTGGAGAACGAGAAAGCTGGGTATCATCAGCGTATTGATGATTCTGCAGCCCACACCTCCTGATGACCTCTGCCAGCGGTTTCATATAGATGTTAAATAGCAGAGGGGATAGAATGGAGCCCTGTGGTACTCCATGGCATAGCTGCCATGACGTAGAGGCATGGTCCCCCAGCACTACCTTCTGGAATCGACCGTTGAGATAGGAGCGGAACCACTGCAAAGCAGTGCCTCCAACCCCCAATCCCGCAAGTCTATCCAGAAGGATACCATGGTCGATGGTATCGAAAGCCGCCGAGAGGTCCAGAAGAACCAACAGGGATGTACTCCCCCTGTCCTTCTTCCTGCACAGGTCGTCGTACAGGGTGACCAAGGCAGATTCAGTACTGTACCCGGGTCTGAAGCCGGACTGAAAAGGATCCAGATAATCAGTTTCATCCAAGAGTGCTTGGAGTTGTCCCGCCACCACTCGCTCCAACACCTTGCCCAGAAACGGGATGTTGGCCACAGGTCTATAGTTAGTGGCCATCTCTGGATCCAGTGACGCTTTCTTCAGGACCGGTCGTATTACCCCTTCCTTTAAAGGGGCAGGCACTCGACCCTCCCTCAGAGAAGCGTTAACCACTTCCAAGATCCAGGTCCCAATCCCGTGCTTGGAGTTATTTATTAACCAAGACGGGCAAGGATCCAATAGGCAAGTGGTGGGACGTACTCTTCCAAGCACCTTGTCCACATCATTGGGCCGCAATAATTGAAATTCCTCTAATAATTTTGGACCAGACGGTAGCATTGGCGACTCCTCAGAGACCTCTGATTCATTAGTGGAGTCCAGCTCGTGACGAATCTGAGCGATTTTCTCTCTGAAATGCCTGGCAAAGTCGTCACAGCGGGCCTTTGAGGGTGGCAGCGGATCTTCCTTAGGATCCAGGCGAACCAGGCCTTGCACCACCCAAAAAAGCTCCGCCGGACGGCATTGTGAGGAGGCAATGGAAGCGGAAAAAAACTTCTTTTTCGCCGCCTTCACCGCCACAGCATAGGCACGATAGTGGGCTCTCAAGTGTGTTCGGTCAGATTCATCCCGTGATTTCCTCCACCTACGCTCTAGCCGTCTCCCAACTCGCTTCATCGCCCGCAATTCAGGTGTATACCAAGGGGAAGAGCGGACTCTGCCCGGTGGGAGAGGACGCTTAGGAGCGATCGTGTCCACAGCCCTGGTCATCTCTCCGTTCCACAGTTCGACCAGAGCCTCGACAGGAGCACCAGTCTTGTCAGCCGGAAACTCCCCCAGGGCCTTCAGGAATCCATCCGGATCCATCCGGCTCCGGGGGCGGGCCCATACAATCGGGTCCGCACTCTTATAGAGGGAGAGGCCGCTCTCGAGCACAAACCTCACCAGGAGGTGATCTTGTTAATTCAGGGATTATGAATTAAAGTGCAGTTCATACAGTGGTACCTCGGCTCACGAACGCCTCAGTTCACGACCAAATCAGGTCACGAACAAAAATTTCATTAAAAATTTGACTCAGGTCGCGAACTCTGCCTTGGGTGGCGACTGCAATCACCCCATTTCCCCCCACCCCGAGTGGGCAGATGGCTGCGATCGTGCCGGTCTTTCCTGCATGAGCACAACCGCGATCTCAGCCATTTCCCCCCACCCCCCAGCATGATCGTGCCCATCTCCTATTGAGTGCGCCCGCATTCGCACCTGTCTCTCCCCCCCGGCCCCCCAAAAGCCCCTTCCCCCCCCCCCCCCCGGATGATGGGCACATGCAGGGATGATGGGCACGATCATGATCGTGCTGCGGGGAGGCAGGGAGATGGCTGTAATTGTGCTTGGGGCAAGGGGAGATGGTTGCGATCTTTGTTGTTCTTTGTCACTTTGCTTCACATTTTTCCGATTAAAAGAAAAATAGTTACAGAACAGATTAACCTTATTTACATTGAACCTTATGGGGAAATTTGACTTGGCTCACGACCAATTTGGGTCACGACCAGAGACCTGGAATGGAATAAGTTTGTGAGTCAAGGTGCCACTGTAATTTTAAAATAGGCCTAACAGTAGTTTTTTCAACATGTTTGCTTCTGTAAAAAAGATACACCTTTCATGTTTGTCTGTTTGTTTTGACACGTGAAATAGTTTCTTTTTTTCTAGCATCTGGCATGAATGGGAAATTGAAAACAGTACTTTTGTTGCTATGTGGATGAGAGATGGAGATTCATGTGAAACCAAGAACAGACAGACAAAGGTAAGAAACATAATGTGTTAAGGAAGTAAAACACTTTCTAATGCTGTAGTCTAATATGGTTTAAAAGTATTCCCAAATCTTGTAATCACAAGCAAAATTAGGGAGTTTTGTTACAATATGATTTGAATTTTCCCTGGATTGTTTTACAGCTAAGAGCCAGCAAATAGGTCTTTCCTTTACTCAGGAAATATTTAAAGTTTTCTATAATGGCCTTGTGAGTGATATGCTTGGCTTAAGAAAAGCCAAGTGATATTTTTGTTTGTTTGTTTGTTTGTTTGTTTCAGGGAAATTGAATAATTTGTCTTGAACAAGTGGTTCATGTTCAATTGGGACTCAGATTTGTTTACAAAGCCAGCAATGGCACAGGGTTGGCCCTTTTCACCTGTTCTTAATACTTTGCTTTTCAGGTTCTACTTTTATGTGGAAAGAAAAACAAATTGGCTCATGTGTCTGAACCAAGCACCTGTGTTTATTCTCTGACATTTGAAACACCACTTGTTTGTCATCCACATGCTCTCTCAGGTAGGGTAAGCATCTCTGAGTAAGTCTGGAGTCTGTGAAATCATGCGTCTGGTACTGTGATCTTAAAATGATGCATGTCCAAAATGTCCATTATAGCAAGTCTGGAAAGTTTTCCAGATCTGTCATGTACCTGCATTCCAAGAAAGGCAGCTTACCTGTAACTGTCGTTCTTTGAGTGGCCATCTGTGTATTCACACATTATGGGTGCTGCACCTGCGCAGTGCCTATAGCTGGAAAGATTCAAAGCTTTAATGGTTTTGGTGGGAACTCCGCGCCCCTCCCCACTATAGTATAAAAGATAGAATGCCCGCCATTTTCCCAGTCTATTGAAGACCGTCTGTTTACCCCCAAGTGGAATTTGTGAGAACAACAAATTCACAGTAAATGACAGATGGACAGGGATGCTTAAATAAGCAGCATATGACATAAAAATATATACCTAAAGCATATAGGTAAAGGCAATGTAGAAGTACAAGGGAAATAATTCCCATTAACCCAGTCACTGACACCAAGTGGGGCCGGCAGGTGGGTTGTGTGAATGCACAGATGGCCACTCGAAGAACGACAGTTACAAGTAAGCAACCTGCCTTTCTTCGTTGTGGCCTCTGTGCATCACACATTATGGGTGATTAGTAAGCTTACCACACCCGGAGGTGGGACAGTGTCGTCACTGAAGAACGGAGGAGAGAACTACATGGCCGAAAGAGCACTCCTGTCTGGCACAAACATCCAGCTGGTAGTGTTTGGTAAACGTGCAAGGGGTAGTCCAAGTGGCCGCCTTGCAGATGACATGCAGCGGAATGCTGGCAGAAAGGGCAGAATAAGTCACAGTGGCCCTTCTAGAATGGCCTTTAGGCATCACTGGTAAATCCAGCTTGGACAGCTGATAAGAGAATTTGATAGTTTGAACGATCCATTTAGAGAGTCCCTGAGAAAAAATCGGAGAACCCTTGTGTTCAGAGTACTTGACGAAGAGGAGTTTAGTTTTTCTGAAAGACTCAGTCCAGCATTGATAAAATGCCAAACAGCGTTGGCCATCGAGTGAATGCAGAGAACGTTCTATTGGTGTCGAAGGTGCAGGAAAAAAAGCTGACAAGACAATATCTTGGTTAATGTGGAAAGGCAAAGCGACCTTAGGAAGAAAGCCTGGGTTGATACAGAGGACCTTTTCTTGTGGAAATTGAGTTAAGGTGGGTCAGTCCGCAAAGCATTACGGCTGAAGTAATGGCTACGAGAAAAGCCATCTTCCATGATAAAAGGTGTAAGTCAGTAGTGGCTAGTGGTTTGAAGGGAGACTTGGTATGTGCCTGAAGAACCACGGAAAGGCTTCACGTCGGTACCACTGAGTGGATTGGTGGATGGAGGTTCTGCAGTCCTTTTAAGAAATGACAAACAAGAAAATGCGAAAACACCGAGGAGCCTGGTATTGAGCTGCGGTGATGTGAAATGGCTGCAATGTAAACTGTAACAGTAGAAGGTTTAAGTCCACTCTGATGTAGAGATAGGGGAAATTGTAAAATGTTCTCAATTGAGGCTGAATGAGGAGTGAAATGGTTGGACCACGCAAATGAAGCAAAATGTTTCCATTTAGCCTCATATGAGCGGCGAGTAGCTGGTCTTAGAGCAGATTGGAGAATAAACTGTATGTTCGGATGGAAAGTGTCCAGGTTTGACGAAGAGCTGGGAACCGATCTCGAAGCCGATGGTACAGCCATGGCAGAGGGCTGCAGAAGAGGTGTCAGATTCAACAGGTCCGTCGGTGTCAATGAGATAACGTTAGTCATCGAATGAGCCAGGCCGTAAGGTTCAGAGAATGTAGATCTGGATGTTGAATGGCGCCACTTTGTTGAGTGAGATGTGGAATCCATGGGAGATGAAGGAAAGTATTCCTGGAGAGGCAGAGAATAGTGGGAAACCACAGTTGACAGGGCCACCAGGGTGTGATGAGAATCCCTTGGGCATCATCTTGATAGATCTTGGCTAGAGTCTTAGTGATTAGAGGTATCGGAGGAAAAGCGTAGAAAAACTTGTTCATCCAAGGAACCATCAGTGCACTTCCGACAGAATCCGGACCAATACCCACCCGGGAGCAATAAGTCTTGCAGACCAAGTTGCTGTGGGTTGCAAATAGGTCTATATTCGGTGAGCCCCAGAGCTGGAAGAGGTGTTGACAGATCTCACGATCCAATTCCCACTCATACTTTGTCGACATGGGTCTGCTGAGAGTGTCCACTTCTTCATTGTCGGTTCCGGCGAGGTGAACAGCAAGAGGGATGATCCCTCTGGGAATACACCAGTCCCATAGACAGAGGGCAAGGTAAGCTCGCGGAACAGACTTCGTGCTGCCCTGCTTGTTGCTGTAGAACACCGTAACTACATTGTCCGAAGCTGTCTGAAGAACTCGGTCCCAAGAAGACTGCCAATTGTTCCAGATAATTGATGTGTCTGGAGGTCTCATGTCCCTCAGTGTAGAGTGTCAAGGGTTGGTTGGCGCTGTCGAAACAGGACTCCAATGGAGAGATCGTCCTCTACTGTCCATCATGACAAAGTCCGAAGAATGGAGACAGGCAGTTGAAGCAGGCAATGAAGCCAGTCGTGCTGCAGATGGAAGAGATGATTGAACCACAGTTGTAATGGTCTCATGCGCAATCTGGCAAAGGGAACTACCAAAACCATGGAGGCCATATGTCCAAGCAGTTTCTGAAAGGACAGCATGGAAACAGTCCGATGCATGGAGATCTGATGAATGGAGGAACACAGAAGCTTGTGGAAGGAAGGCTTGGGAGTCGAGGTGAGCTCTGATGAAGTTGATGACCTGTGAAGGAATGAGGCAGGATTTTTCAACGTTAATTCACAGTCCAAGCTTGTCAGGGAGGGAAGATGTGGTATTGATGGCTGACAGAAGGCCTTTCTTGGAAGAGACAATCAGCCAATCATCAAGATAAGGGTTGATATGGATGCCCTTCAACCTCAGATGGGTGCAGACAGGAGTGAAGACCCTTGGAGCGGTGGCGAGCCCAAAGGGAAGGACATTGTATTCAAATATGTTGGTACTGACCATGAATCAGAGCATACGCCTATGAGGAAGGTGGATGCTGGTATGAAAATAAGTGTCCTTTAAGTCCAGAGATGTGAACCAATCCTTTTTCCTCAGCAATGGAAGGATATTTTGAAAGGTGGTCATCCGAAATTTTTTAGTTTTGATGAACTTCTTGACGCCACGTAAGTCCAATATCGGGTGCAGAGCACCATCCCGTTTTGGGACCATAAAATATCTCGAGTAGACACCGTGGAGCCCCTCGGAGGGGGTGAGCTGTCAAATTGTTCCTTTATGAAGTATTTGGGAAACTTTGTCTTGAAGGACCAGAGAAGGAGACATATATCAGATCGGTCCAGGTGGGGGCACGGTATCACACTTGATTTTATATCCGTGCTCTACAATGGAAAGTACCCACTTATCAGATGTGATGAACTCCCAAATGGCAGCCAATCCCCAAAAGGAAGAGGGGAGAGTGGGTCGGAGGATTGAGGAATGGCTTGCTTGTCCCGTCAATGCTGGCATCTGTCGGCCTTGGGACGACAACGGGTCTGTTGGAAGCAGGGTGCCATCTGTTTGCAGTTCTGCTGTTGGCGGGACTAGAACTGTTAGCAGTTGTAATAGTGAGGGTGTGGTTGGTACCGGTATTGCAATTGAGACCAAGGCCACTTGCATCGGTTTTGCATGGGGACCTCCACGTGGCAAGCAGTGACACGTGCTTTGTATATGTTCTCTAGTAATTAACATGATGCCTTGCCATACTAAGCTGCTGAATGGATACCTGCATGGCTTTGTGAATAAAGACGTGGGCGAGGTCCCTCTGCTGCTCTGGGAGTGTCAAGAGGATGGGATTGAGTTTCTGCAATGAAGAAGTATTGACACCTCACCATCATTGCCTCATAGTTAGAAATACGAAGCCCTAGCCCTGTAGCAGCATAGATACGGCGGGACATCATGTTGATCTTCCGCCCTTCTTTATCCTGAAGAGTGGAATGCTTCTTATGCTCCTGAGCCTGAGAGGACACGAAGACTACCAAGTTTGGCTTAGGATGTTTCGAAAGGAATGGGATGTCCTGTTCCTGGACCTTGTACATCGCCTCGTAGTGTCGAGAGGTCGGGTGCAACTGGTTGGGAAACTGCCAGGTCTCAGTCATTGCTTGCCGCAGAGTGGTAATGAGCAGCAACAGAAGACTGTTCCTTCCTGACAATGCCATAGAAGTTGTCAGTGCTGGAGCCGAAGCGGTGTTGTACCTCAATCTCCAGCAACCTGGTCAGTCGGGCCATCAATTCTCCAAAGGTGGAGTAGAACTCCTCCGGAGAGCCGGGACCTTGGTTGGAGATGAGCATGTTGGCTGGAGAAGGAGGTGGTCTGGAGAGAGCAGCTGCCAATGTCAAGGGCGCATCTCTGGAGGCCAGATGAGGCGTTGAATGTTGATGGCATGCTGAAGGCCTCGGATAGTATCTGCTTAGTGGGTAGAAGTCCCATGGTTGATACTGGGACGACTCAAAATCGCTGTAGTACTTTGGCACCCAGTGCTTCGGAGCCTGAGTCAGAGTGCGTTCTTGCTGACAGACCTATGACTGGGGTAGAGCCCTCGGTGAAGCCTCAGGAGACGTCTGCATCGGTGTAGGCGAGTGAACTGAGGGACGGCTAGTCTGGGATCGCGGGGTTGAGTCCTGGATTTCACCATTGGACATGGACCCTCTAATGACAGCCTCCGAGTGGTCTGGGGTTGACTGGGCCAAGAGTATAACTGTCTGAGAAGACCTGGGTGGGGTCACCTGCATCACCGACTGGTTACTTGGGGTTGAGGTCGAGACAGCAGTTGGAACCGAGGCGTGGATGAACCCAAGTCTCCCCATGGTGATTTAGCAAGCTTCCACTTGTGCCCCAACTTGTCAGGTTTATCCTCCTTGGCCCATTTCAGAGCCGAGGACTCGTTGGACCCGACATGATTCCTCTTCTCCTTTTGTTTGTGGCGAGAAGGCAGAGAGGAGCGTTTGGCCTCCGTTGGAGTCGTACCATCAGCTGATGGATGAGAAGGAGATGTCATCGACAGTCCTGTCGGCACGGACCCAGCCACAGGTTGATAGGAGGTGACCAAAGCCTGGTCCCACAGGATCTTACTCAGGTGGTTCTCCTGGTTCTTACAGGCCTGCTTCACGAAGGTCTGGCAGTGGCCACACTCATCAGTCCTGTGGCCTTCTAACCCAAGAAGGGGCAGGTCGTGTGGGTCAGTGGCAGTCATCTTAGCCCCGCACCGGGAGCACTTAGAAAAGCCACTTGCTGAGCCATAGACGAAAAGGAGATAGCGAAACGAGGAAGAAATAGAAAAATAACGATAAAAGGGCTTATGGGGGGGCGGGGGAGAAAAAAGGGGAGAGAAGGGGGAGAAACTTTCTACAACCAGAGAGGGGATAAGGTAATTTTCTTAACAAGGAGAAAGATTTTAACAAGAAAAAAAGAGCAAGGAATAGTTTTTATCAGGAAATGGTAGGCATATTTACAGGAATGAAAGGCTCGAGGCACAGTGAACAGCAGTCTCAAGAAGACTGGGAAAATGGCAGGAACTCCGCCTTTTATACTATAGGGGGGAGGGGCACGGAAACTGTTAAAGCTTTGAATCTTTCCAGCTATAGGAACTGTGCACTTTCCAGCTATAGGAACTGTGCAGGCGCAGCACCTATAATGTGTGATGCACAGAGGCCACGAAGAAGACTTGAGCTTGCCTATTAACTACTGTGAAGGGGAAAGAAGGTCCTATTTTGCAGTGTCACCATCTGGCTCCCTCCTTCAAGGTGGAAAGGCCTGATTTATTGAATTGGGTTGCATTCAGCTAACAATACATTATTAATGTTGCAATAACCCCAGGTCCATAAATTTTGGCCGATTGCAGAAGCTGCTCCCTCTGTTAACTAAAGAGCAGGGTCTTGAGTGACATGCTGCTGAGTTCAGGGCTGCTCTAGGCAGCTGAATCCTGAAGCAGACTGCGTAAGGTGGGAGCTCATTCCTTTTGTGCTCCCACTCCTCTCATAAGAGTGCAATGTACTCATAAGTTGCAAACTTACTTGTATACCGTGGTACAGACCTGTGCTCACAGAGTTCCCAGGAACAAAGCAGAAGCATTACTCTGCCAAGAGGGAGGAAAAATAGCCTTTTCAAAAACATTGTGTCTTTCCCTTTAGTTGGGAAAAAAAAGCCTTAGAGCAGCACAGGAATGTTCATATCCTTGCCTTCAGTCTTCTCATCTCAAAGACATGATAAACAAAATTGGGGAGGGGAGGGAAAGCAAGCTAAGTCACTGTATCTTAAAGTTCTTTATTTTAAAATTTATTTTTTACATCAATCATATAAATTGAAACTTTATTTACAAACAAGAGGAACATTAGATTACTATAGAGAAGAGAGAAAGAAAGGAGCTTTCTTCCAAGCAGCTGAAATCTTAAAAAGAGAATAGATATCTGGACACCCTCTCCTTAAAACAGGCAATGTGTCAGGATTTTACTCCAAATTTACAATGTACATACCTAAAATACTGGTTACAGACGAGCTCTATTCCTGAGAATGTCCTTAGGTCAAATTTTAAGTTGAATCACATATATAAAAAGCATATAAACACTTAAGAAACACTTCCATATACACTAAAACATCTCAAACACAATTCAGCATTTTAGTAATGATAATAGTACAGTGATAATAAAGGAACTATTACTTTAGTTACATACAGATTTTCTCCTAAAGTATCTGTGAGTACAGTAGTTCTTAAAACAGCTTAGATTGAAAAAATAGTAAAACTATTATTAAAGGTTAACACTTCTTGAGCTAACATTAAGCCTAATATTAACTGGATGATGCTGGAGATGGAACTGGTATTAAAGAGGATGGACATGGTGCTAAAGAGGCATAATTAAAAAAAAAAAATTCTGGAGCTGTATAGAGCTCCATTTTAACCACACTGCACCCTGGTTTTAAGTGCTGATTGGTTGTTTTTAATTTTACATTTTTAGAAGTCTCTGGTTTTACTGGTTATAGGAGGGAAATCCTGGGGAGCAGGTGGGCGCCCCATGGGGGTGGTAATGGGCAGGGGAACATATGATGCTGGGGGTTTAACATGTTGTTCCACAAGAGGGAGGGACAGATGTTTCCCCCAGCCAGAAGGTCCCAGGAAGTAATATCAACTGGTCCTTGGGCCTGGTGGCACTGCTGCTGAATGCCAGGTCAGTCCAAAATAAAACATCTTTCATCCATGATTTATTTGTGGATGAGGAGGCCAACTTGGCATGCATTACTAAGATGTGAGCGGGAGGGGTGGGGGATACTCAAGTCCCTGAGTGTCTTGCCCAGAGCTGCAAAGTCCCTCTTGATCCCACCCAGCCCCTCCCTGGCTGTGTCGTTCCTCCCCATGTGGATCACCAGAAGTGGCTGGTGTTGACCCTTTTGTTAAGCCAGTTAAAGCTTGGATGGGGAACGTGTGGAAGGGTGGACTGTGAAGGAGGACTTCTATAAGGCATACAACCCTCTCACTTGCCTGCCCTGTGTGGCTTGGCCTTCCATCCCCAATGCTGGCAGTGGAGCAGTTTCCTGCTGGATGTCTTGCTTACCAGAGTTTCCATCACCCCCAGCTGTGGCACAGAGACCATGTGTCACCATACAGGACAATAGCTGCAGGCATAATTTTGAGGATTGACTTCCACTATGAGGCTGTAGTCCCCTGCCTATTTGTGGACTTAGCCTTTGAGTAGACTGGCACAGAATGGCCCTGAAAGAAACTAAGGTGAGAGATGCCCTTTCTTTGCAGTGTATCCAGCATTGCCTGAAGCCCTCCAGAAAAAGTGGGATGAAGTGGAACAGTTGCTTTATGATGACTTAATCACAGAACAGGTTGGTTTTCTTTCCATATTGCATGTTTATCTTGCAATGAAGTCAAGGTGTTCTGCGTGGGAGTCCAGTCTGGGCATACTCCAAATATGTAGCACCAAGATGATGCCCTACTAGTTCTTTCAGTGTTCAAGTTCCACAGAGAAAAGGTCTACATCGTGCTTTCACAGCAGTAACAATGAACCTGTGATGCTTTTTTCTTAAAAAAAAAAAAAAAAAAGTCCCTTCCTCAAAAGGTGCATTGAAGGCCCACATGCTAGCCACCCCATCATGTGGAATTCTTTGGGGAAATTAAAGTGACCAGTGCCTGGCCTGCATTCTATTCTACAGTGTACTGCTTTGCCCAGTAGGAAATGGAAAGGAAGAAACAAAAGCCCTTTTCACCAGCTCCCTCTAAGCCAATGTAAGAGCTGCAGAACAATTGAAAGGGGAGCTTGGGAAGCACAAGGGGGACAAGGTAGTGTCAGGTTGGAGTCAGTGCAGCATAGGGCCACAAGGTTGGTGGCCAGTTTGCAGGGGATGCCATATGAGGCGAGACTGAGGGAATTGGGTCTCTTCAGCCTGGAGAAGAGGAGACTCAGAGGGGATCTGTTGGCGACATACAGGTATGTGAGCGGGTGTCACACGGAGGTGGGGAGAGACCTGTTCTCCCCTGCAGAGGAAGGCAGGACGCGCTCCAATGGAGCAAAGCTCAGGGAACCCAGGTTCCATTTAGATGCCTGGAAGCACTTCCGGACTGTTTGGACCTCAAGGGTGTGGAATGGGCTTCCACGGAAGGTGGTTTGAGTCCCCATTGATGAGGGTGTTCAAAGTTAGGCTAGGCATGCACATGGTGGGCATGTCGTGAGTGGAGCCGGGGATCAGACTAGATGGCCCAGGAGGCCCCTTCTGACTCACTCTGTTTCTATGTTTCTTGCCCATGCTCTTTAGGCGTGGGTTATTGTGAGGATTGAGTATTTTATTTATTCAGGTCTGGAACCTTAAATCTTAGCAGATGCAAGAGATTTTATTCTGGGAGTGCCAGATCCTTGCGCAGGTTACGATTTCAGCATATAAAGGTCTCCAGATGACTCTAAAATCTCCATTCAGTAGCAAATGGATGTTTGAACAGGGGCAGTGGGATGTTGATACTTGCAGTGCTCACTTGCCCTAAGTATGATTAGGGTTAATCATACCAAAGTTCAATAGGAATGATTCAAGAGAATGCAGCCCCAACCCTCACCCCCAATGCCTGATTATAAGCACATACCAGGAGCCAACTGCATCTTCCATGAGCTTTTTCTCCATCTGCCCTCATCACTCCAGGTTATTCCACAGCAAGCTGTACTACAAAGAGGACACCCCGGAGTAATCATGTCAACCATTCATTAACTCATGGACTGTTCAGCCCTTGCATAACCATCCTTGCTAACCTTGAACAGCATGGGAACCCCGGAGTGGGATTGGGATATGAGGAGGAGGATGCAAAATGATCACATACTGCGTCCTCACTGTGGCTTGTTGTACTATGCAAGCCAGGCCTTTGTGTTGCTGTGAATGGGTGGTGTGCCAGAATCCTGACAGAAATGGAGAGGGTGGGAGTTCGTGTGAATGTGCGTTCCTGAAAATGCAAGGCAAGAGGTAAGAGATTGGCTGGCAATCTCAAAAGTATGTAGTTAGTATTTTGCACATGGCTTCTGCCTTGTCATACTCAGTTTCTTGGATATATTGCTTGTCCTTTGTGACTAGCCAGACCCCTGTCAGCTCTTTTGCCACTGTGTGACAACCAATTCACGGTAGTGCCAAAAAAAGGTTGAGGACTGGATTATCAATGTCCAGTCTTAGCCAGAGCATCACTAATCAGAAATAATTCTGCATTTTATTTATGTCATTTCTATACTGCCCAATGGCCAAAGCTGTTGGTTTACAACAAAAGGCAATTGAGCTGTATGGCCATAGATGTTTGCATCACACTTCTACATTGTATAAAGTCTACAGATGTTTTCAGCTGTAAATGTAACATGTTGTAAGAGTCGAAGTAATGTATTAGTTTACATGTGACTTTCAGGAAATGGATGGATTGATTCATGAAAGGATGGATTTCAAAGCTTGACTGAAAAATCAGTATTTTAGCTAGGTTGGTCTAGACAACCCCAGAAAGCTTCCTGAGCTCATAGAGCAAATTATAGTTGCAAAAATGCTTTGTTTGGCATTTTTCCAGGGATACAAGAAAAGATTGAGAGATATATTTGAAGAAGCCAGCTTTTTTAAATCAACAAGAGAGGTAAAAAGGAAGAAAACAAAACCACAGCATACAGAATCTGACTCACTGGATAAGTGCAATAAGGTACAGAAAGTGGCATTAGAAGTGTTTGGCTGGTAATGTGTTGCCATTGTTAGCCTGTGTTTTGTTTCTTCTGCTGAATCCTTTAGCCCAAAAAGAGGTGCAGGGCAGAGTGAAGGGTGTTGCGAGAGGTTTCCAAATGAATGAGACTACTTGACTCCTGTGAATCAGCTGAAATTGACGTGGATAAGGGTATTTTGTGAGGAGTGGCAACTAGTCTTGGTTTCACTTCTTCTGTCAAACCAGCATGTTACTTGGCTAGTTGATAAGTTGTATAAACTATCTTTTATGGGAAAAACCTTCTCCAAGGTGGTAGCAAAATTAAAATCATAAAACAGTAAGAATAGCAATATGAAATGTAACAAGAAAATACAGAAATACAGAAAGCACCCAATAAATTAGCTAAATTATAGAGCAAGGAGAAAGGGGCTTTTAGGGCCCACTTGAAGGGTGCGTCATATGAATGAACATTTCAGACTTCAGCTGGTGCAGAATCCCTCCCCTGAGCCCTCATATCTGCCAAACTAGTTGCTTTTATGAGCCAGCACACTTTTATGGGTGAATGTTGTTCTTCAAATCTGGGCCAAAACCATTTAGTGTTTTAAAGGTCAGATCTTGGCTGAATTAAATTTTCCACACATAATCATTATTTTAATATAAAGGGAATAAAGTGTTTCTACAGTTGTAATTTTTGAAATTCACTAAATTTTTGTATGAGAGGAACAGCAGTCATGGTTAAACTTCCTTCTTTTTTCTAGGAATACCAGCAACTTTCTAATGAGTTGCAGAAACTTAGAGACTTATTAACTCAGCATGGAGTTGCATATGAAACAATCCTGAGTAAGTTTTTGTTTTGGGGTTTTGTTTTTGTTTTGCAAAGTTCTATTTTCCTTCTTACAGTATTAAGGAACTATAGGATTACAGCCTCAAGGAGACAGAACTGAGACGTGTTAGCCTTCCAGGTATTTTGAACCAACTCCCATCAGTTCCAGCCAGGAATGCTGGAAGTTGTGGTCCAAAACATCTTGAAGTTACCAGCTTGAGGAAAGATGCGCTGCAGTGGAAGAAAAAGAGAAAAAAGAACAAAAACCAAAACTTTTTTTTCATATCAACACAGGGGGTATCTTTGCACTACACATTTGTGTCACCTCCCTCCAATCCTTTGGGGTTCTCCCACCCAAAAGAATGATCTGCCACACCTCTCAATCATGCAGCACACAGGCATTTAATACGAAGCTGTCCTCATTCAATAATCGCTATGTTTTGGGAATTGTAAAAGTTTTCACTGAGGGGCTAAAGCTTTCACGTGTCCCCTCCCAAGAATCCCAATATCCACCACTGATGCCACCACCACATTCCCTGCTTTCCACTCCCTCCCCTGGAGAAATTTATGCAGACTGCTTTTTAATTGTTAGCATGACAAAAACTGGATCTTGATCATTGGTGTGCCTAACCTCTTAGCCAACATGTGTCCTATGTGGCATATGGAATGGAAAGATTGGTCACACCCCCCATGTACAGGCACCAGTCAGTGCCTCGTAAAAGTTAGAATGGGTATGCTGAATGAAAGATCAGTGAGAGTTCAACCACAGCTAATAGTTCTCCATATGGTGGAACAGTTGCTTAGGAGTAGGTTCCAGGTTCAGTGGCACCTTCAGGTAGAGCTGGGTAGGTAAAACATAAAACCTTTGAGAGCTGCTATCAATCAGGATAAACAGTACTGTCTTAGTTTGACTTGGTATAAAGCAGCTTTGTATTTTTCTGTGTTCTAGCCAGAAACGATGATAATCACATCACCCAAAGATTTACGATAGAAAAGCCACTGCTGACCATGGTTTCAAAAACTGGTCAGCAGCTGCATGGAGATGCAGAAACTGGCCGAGTTTCTTAGAATTGGTAAGATAATTTCATTCACATTACATGGTTCTCCATACCTTTAAGAGAAAGCTGACTTACCTTCCAAAAACTTTCTCTGCAGGGCAACATCTGATTTTAGTCTCCACTAGAGTTTGGAATTCTTTTCTGTACCACTGGGAATGAAGACTAAAGACATCTTTTGAATTTCTGTCTGCAGGAACGTAGCCAACTTTGAACTATCTCTGCTTCCTTCCTAACAATGTTGTATGAGGGATTCATGGACTTGAGGAATCATGAAATAAATTCCATTCCTTGTTAATTTATATCCACTGTTTCTGTCTGTGTCAGTTGGGTGTAGGTGCTACTAAGCTAGAAAACCCACCTCATTTTTTGGAAAACCTTTAAGGTTGCTCCTTACCTAAGGTGTTCTGACTATCCACTGTGCAATGGCACACATTGTTCTTAGAAAGCTCTTGTTTTGGGACTCCTGATTAAAATGTGACCTGGCATCAATCGCTGCCAACTAGATTAAAAAGAAATATATAGCAGAAATAGCCATCAGTTACAAAGATTATTTTATAGATATGGATTAACAATTTTCAAGAAGATTTTAAAAGCTTGCATGTTTGATACATGCAATTTAAGCATATTTATTTTAAGCAGATATTAAGCCCATCTGTGGGGTTTGAACAAGGTTTGTATTAATTTTATGCAAAGTCTATTGACCAAAAGCAATAAAATCTGATGACCATGATCACTGAATTAACATGATGTTCACTATTGGCAGTTGTTGTTGTTGTTTTGGGCCTCATGAGATGCTAAGCTTTCCCCTGAAAAAACATTTGGAAACATTCAGAGAATCCTACAAAGTTCAAGGGCAGTCAAATCTCCAGGACAAAGTCGACCACCAAGTCCTTTGTCCTTTTGGTTCTTTGTACTAAGGCAGTCCTCCTGGGCTGGAGCCTTGACTTGGGTGGCACTTCTGCATGCCCGCTCCCTTGCTGCTGAGAGAAGCTGGTCACTTCTTCCTCAGCCTGGCACGAGCAGCTATGCAGGGATTGGTTGATCCCCCCACTTCCAGGGAGAACATGGACTCAGAGGAAGTCCAGTGTATCTCGGCACCCCACAGGCTGATCAGGCCCCAGACTTCCGAACTGCTTATAGGCTGATTCTAGCTATAATTTTGAAAGCCTGGTGTGCTGCTGACACCGAGCCAAGGCTGTTGGTTTTCTCGACCTTGAACACGCAGGAGGCAGCACCACATCGCTTCTCCTCCTGAGAAAGCCCCACCTGACTGCAGGCACCTCACAAGATCCGTGCATGTCCCCCCTTTCGATGCACTGAAGGCAGCTGATGCCAAAGCAGAACACCCCCGGGAATTCCGCATTATCCCTCTCTCTGTCCTCGGCCCGATGAGCTGTGGGGGCAGAGGCATGGTGTTGAAGGGGTGGGGGAAGTCGCTCGGGCACTTATGAAGGAGGCCTTGTGCAGCTCGGGGGTGGGGGGGGCTCTTTCAGGGAAGCTGCCGAAGAAAGCCGGCCTTTCCTTAACAGTGCCTGCTTTCCCCCACCAGTTGCTGGATGTGAAGCTACGCCTGATGAGACGCTTCTGGGTGCTGCTGCCCCACACGCTCTGCAGCCACGAGGCTGCTGGCATCACCAGCCAGGAGCGCTGGAACGGGCAGACCCGGGGCAGGCAGCCTCGCGTGGAAGCGGGAGAGGGGCAGCCTGTGCTGGGCTTTGTGGGGGGGGGGTCAGGAAACATCTCTGGGGAGATGAGCAAGGTTGGGCCTCTTTGCTGTGCCACCCCCCGCGCTGCAGCCAGGATTTCGGGAAGCCCCATGCCTGGTTTGCCAGAAGGTTCACTGCGCTGCTTGCATGTGGGGGGATGGGGAGGGTTGAGAGGGGAGGCCAAGTGAAAATGTGGGGGACATTATGTGCACAGGGGCCACATCTTCAGGTCGAAGTGTGTGCGTTTGTGAGCCAGCAGAGGTGCCTCCTCTGTATTTGGAGCTCCCTCCTCCCACATTGGCTACTCTTTTCTATCCAATGGCCACCCAGGTACCTCCCAGACGTGACGGGGACGGGTTGGTAAACCAGATCAACAACCCGGAGGTGGAAATGGATGTTTTGCGGCCTGATTTGCCCACCTGACAGCACATTCTGGCTGTCCTGGAGCAGTCAACCCCAGCTGCAAACAAGAGACGTGGCCTTCGTGTGAGACTCTTCTCGGGGACCTCTGATGCGGACCGTCTACTGCATGGGGGAAAACAAAGGAAGAATGTCGGCCTCAACCCCACCAAATGACTTTGTGCTCAACATTGCGCTCCTAAATTTCACTCAGATGGATTGCCCCCATCAAAAAAGAAACCATGTCAACAAGATTGGTAAAAATGCATGCAGATAGAAAACCAAAGGGAAGGATTTTCTCAGGTGGCTCTTGCCTGAGGCAGGCTTCACGAGAACTACACTGCCACAGGCCATCAAGCCACCCTCTGCATGGAGAGAGAGATGGAAAATGCATGTGCTTACTCCGGTGTTCTCTCCAGTAGTCAGAAACTTCGCACTGGAAATGATCACTCAGCGATGGTCCTTGGGATGGCAAACAGATGATTTTGATGGCGTGGGTCTCTTAGGCACACTGGCCAAGGAAGATCCGGTCCATACAAAGGCGAAAAGTGCCATATAGAGGGCATGCTAAGTAAGCTTTCCAACGTGGACTCTGATCAAAACAAGAGCGGCTGTTCAGAACCGGCCATTCCAACTCTTTTTCCAGATAATGACACACGTGTGTGGGTTTGCTCCCCTCTATCCATTTTGCCCCTTCCGGGGGTACCTCCCAAAAATAATGGAGACCTCCACAAAAGTGCAAGACGCAAGGACTGCTCAGCTCATTCACTCTCCAATACAGAAAATATTCCTCATACTAGAAATGTGTTACATAAAGGTTCATAACACTAAAAAAGGGATCAAAGGCATTTCCAAGGAGGAAAGGGGATAGGAGACCTCCACCCCCGGGGCGTGGGAGAGACTTGCTTTTCACATATCTGAGTCCCCTGGTATATTTCAAAGGAGAGATGGGATGGTCCATATGTAAGCCTCTGCAGCCCTTCTCCACTAGAACAAGAGCAGAAAATTGAATGCTGCGTGTGCCAACGGGGAAGCTGGCATTCTGGCCCTGAAACGGGGCTCGATCCCCCATCAATTCCTCCGGGAACGGGCCCGCACTGCCTCAACGGGCATCCTACCTATGCCCATGAAAGCTGAGCCCTGCATCTGATTCCCGGAGTGGGGGGGGGGGACAGGAAGGGAGGACCCCCGTCCCCATCCAAGGCAAGCCCACAAGCCACGGCGCTTTGCACATGCACGTGAGATCGGAGCTTCTCCAACAAGGCCCGCCCGGCCTCCCGGGGCCTCTCTGCTGGAGGCGGCATCTCTGCCCGGAGTTCCATGGAGGGGCCGGGGCATCCTGCCTGGGGGTGGAGGGAGCGAGACACGCGGGGGGGCAGCAGAGCCCCCCCCGCCCCCGTCTTCGCAGACAGGGGGGACGAACAACCCTTCCCGCCCCGCCGCCCCCCCTTTCCTTCCCTTACCTCGGGCGGCCATGACAGGAGAGGAGGAAGGGCGGCAAGAAACCACACGTCGCCTTCAGGCAGCCATGCTGGGTGTGACGTCAAAACAGAGGCGCCTGCGGCGCGAAGAAGTGACGCGCGTTCGGCCCTCACCATGTTGGTAGTGTCTGACTCAGAGAGGGGCCTCGCCCTTCAGCCATGTTGGGAGTGGCCTGTCTCTGCGCAGGCGCGTATCTAGACCTACGAAGGTGAAGAGCCGGATTGTATTGCAGCATCCACAAAGTGCTGCTGCAGGCCCAGGCCCAGGCCCAGCCCGTTTCCCAGGAGGGGCGAAAGGGCTCCGTCGCTGATCTTCCAAGAAGGGGGGGCGGCGGCAGCGCGCAGCCCGTGCGTGGCGGGGGGCTTCATGCAGCCGGGGGGCCCAGTGTGGCTCTACGCTCAGCAACGGAGGCATTGGCGCGCCTGGAGTGCCCTCCTGTGGTCATTGCTGACAATTGCGGCCTGAAGGTTTTTACTGGAAATGCAAACATAAACCTGGTACTTTTTATCCCATGTGGTAGACTTGTCATAAGGCAAAAAGCTATTGGGCTATACTACACAAACAGCTTGAGGAAATGTTACAAAAATCTTTAATGTTTAAACCTTTTTATTAGGCATTGTGTCTGATGATGTTGACAAACAGGCAACGTATTTGAGTTACATGTAGTAATTACTGCGGCAAGGATTGTATTTGCCCAACATTGGAGGAGTAAAGAACCACCTACTGATGAACTGATTTTTAAAAAAATCCTGGACTGCGCTGAAATGGACAAGCTGACTTTGTCTCTGAAGGAGAAAGAGGATACATACTTCAGTCAAACTGCAACTCTTTTTATTATTGGCTAGAGAAATGGGGGTATGTGTAGATTTGAATATGTCTATGGATTGCTATAAAAAAAATATGGGGAGGGGAATGATCCCGTAGTTCTGATGTCTCTGATGATTGATGTTTTTAGTTTTTTAATTTCTTTAGCTTGTAGAAAATAATAATAATAAAACTTATTAAAGAAAGGGGAAAGGCTTTCACCAGCCTTTTCTCTCATGAGACATCCTGTCCTCTGAGCGGTTTGTCATGGTAGAGGCGAAGGAAATGAGAAAAAAAGAATGAGAGCTGAGCAGGGAGAAGGCTCCCACAAAATACTTTCAGCTCTTCTGTCCCTTGAATAGCATACATAGCATACAGTTCCCCCTGCTGGGCCAGGCCCAACGGCCTGCCCAGGAATGTCCCCCCCCCCCCCCCCCCCCCTCCGGTCCTGATCCGGAGGAGCAGCCCAGCAGGCGCACCCCCTTCCCACTGGCTGGACGAGGCTTCTGAGTGCGGGGACCGGGTGAGGCGGCGAGGCTCCCCCAGCTGGCGAGGGCAGCGATTCAGCGTGCGGGGCTGGGGCTGTGGCGATCCGGCTTCTACTCCCTGCCTGGCTGTGCAGCTCACCAACTGACGTTGGGCCAGGCACAGAGTCTCGGCCTGCCCTACCCTGCAGGGTGGTTGTTGTGAGCATCAACTTGGGCCAAGCATTGTGCAAGCCGCTTTGAGTTCCTCACAAGAGAAAAAGGCATGGTACACATGGAGTATACACAATACGCTGCACAAATTCTGCGCCTCTCCTAATGGTGATCAATAATAAAATAGTAGCCTTTTTAGAGACTTCAAGGTCCAATAGCTATCGAGAAGACACGCCTTCCACTCAGCATCCTCTGCTCTCGGCAACAGCGCAGCAGATGCATTTGCCCACTCAATGCAGGGCTTGTCTTGTTGGTCCCTGACCTTTCCTCTACTATTCTATTTTTCTCCTGCCATTTTAATGTTTCATTGCTTTTAAGTGCGATTTTATTGCACATTGCTGGATGCTGTGCCATTTTATCAGTCCTTGTTGTAAAGTGTCCTGGAGCGGTAGTGAAGGGACAGGGTATAAAAGTTTTAAATATATTAAATCAATTTGATCAACATTTCTCTAAAAACATAAATTAATTTGGATAGTGAAAGAAACCGGTGCTTTTGCAGAACATGCTTCTGTTTCTCTAAAAAAATACATTAATTTTGATAGCGAAAGAAACCGGCACTTTCGAAGAACACACGTGTTTCTCTAAAAAAAAAAAAAAAAGATTAATATTGATAGTGAAAGAAACCAGTGCTTTTGAAATCACACTTATGTTTCTTTAAAAACATAAATTAATTTGGATAGCGAAAGAAACTGGTGCTTTTGCAGAACACGCTTCTGTTTCTCTAAAAAATACATTAATTTTGATAGCAAAAGAAACGTGCAATTTCAAAGAACACGCTTGTGTTTCTCTAAAAAATATATATATATTAATTTTGATAGTGAAAGGACCCAGTGCTTTTGAAAAACACACTTATGTTTCTCTGAAAACATAAAATAATTAATTTATGAAAACATAAATTAATTCTCTCTGGCCGCCTGTGCCTTCTTTTCCGCCTTATTTAGCTTTTCGGCATCTTGCCAGTTATAATAAGCTTGGGGACACAAGTAATAGGTATGGCCAGCCTCACAGAGATTGCATCGGATGCCCCTTTGGCAGGCGAGCGTGGAGTGCCCTCTGCCACAACAGCACGAGCACAACTGCGTGGTGCACGTCCTCCTGTAATGCTCATACGAGCCACAATGGTAACACGCGGAGGTTGCCCGCTGTACCTGATGATTCCACGTTCCGCTCCCAGAACGAAATACTTATCCTGGCTCTGACTTTAAAAGGACACCACACAACGGTATTCGCCCGTCCAAAAACCCTCCACATTGATCCTTTTGTATGGCCCATTGAGTATCACAGCATACCTGGAAACCCACGGGCCATGTCCTCCTCCGGGATGGTTGTGGTGTGAAACATCACGGTCAGGACTCTGCTGTCCCCCTTGAAGAGGGGGACTTCCTCGAAACCCTCCAGTAAGGAGGGGTTTGCGCTTTGTGCTGATCTACACTATGCCATAATTTTTCAGTAGGCGAGTTCAGAGGCTAGACACATGTCGGTATCCCGAGAACCCTGTAACCAAATCACCGCCACGACCTGTTATTTGTTAATCTTTAGGACCTCTTTCAGAAGAGCCTTTGTCAGATAGGATCTGGTGTCCCTGTTGGGGTTGGATCCGAATTATCCAAAGAGTACCACGATCGGGAATCCCTTCTATCTGAAGCAAAATCATCCCTTCCAGTGCTATTCCCCCACTCTATTAGGGCTAGGGGTGGGCACCAGGGTAAGGTTAGGGTTAGGAAAATGAGGTGTCCTGGCATCATTCTGAAGCTTGGAATCAGTTGAGAATGGGCAGAAAAGATAAGCTGTGCAGAAAAAGCCACTCAAGGAAGGCTTTTTCTAAATTTCCCCTTACATTGGTACGTGGCCCCTGTATTAGGGTTAGGGGTGTGCACCAGGGTAGGGTTAGGGTTCGGAAAACAAGGTGTCCTGGCAAGATTTTGAGGGTTGGAATGTGTTCAGAATGGGCAGAAATGATGAGCTGCGCGGAAAAAGCTACTCAAGAAGGGCTTCTTCATTATAGTCCTCCTTTCCATGCAATTTTAACCCTTTATTAGGTTGAATTTTTTTTTTTAGGTTGAAATTTTTTATTTAAATAAAAACGTGCTACAAAAGTTACAAAAGGCACAAAATTGCAATATTACAAAAGTAGAAAAATACCTCATCCAATATTTACATGGTATCGAAATGCCAAATGTACACACATTTACAGGATTCCCAAGCTTTACATATCAAATTTACAAAAGAACGTTCTATAGATTTCTCCTTGATAGATTCATGCCATGTGTCTCAGCAACATGTATGATCAGTTTCCGTACATTACGTGATCGGGGCATGAGCCCCACTCAACCATGGCCATAATTTCCTCCACCGTCTGGGCGGCATCCTCCCTTTTTCCTCGCGGCTCAACCAAAAAATCTTCTCTTGGACAAATTTGACTGAGCCGGTCACGTCAGCCACCTTTTGTGTCTTTATCTCTCTGTGGCGTTGGAGTGACAGCGCCAACAGAACGTACAGATTAATCAGCCTAATTGTGGACCACGGTACAGTCCAGTACGTCTTGGGAGCCGTGGTCTCTCTCCACCGCTGCTTCCTGGGCACCCTCCTCCTGGGTCCCTTCAATGGAGGAGCGGGTTCTGTGCCAGACACGACCGATTCCCCGTCCTGG